ACGCCGAATTGCGAAAAAACAGAGCGGATTAAAGGTGCACATGAGCACAGCCGTAGGAAATATGCTGCAAACATCCGCCTGCTGCAACTGCATCTGAGGACGCACACACTGCCGCGCAGAAAACCTCGGCCGGAGCTGGAGCACACTAAGAACAATGATTTCTGGATGAGGCTTAGTTTAAATGATTATACTATAAACGTAAAAGGAATTTAATTTGTCATGTAAAGTAAAGGAAAGAAATGGGTTATTATTTCTATAGTGAAAATTATAATAAGTAAACAGTACTTTTACTATTCCCTTTAAAAGTTATATATGAACAGATTTGTTTGGCACGTATGTTAACAGAATTCCTTTTTTTGTATTACGCCTTATATACAGATAAATATATTTGTTTTAAAGTCACTAAAAGATATTTGTTTTTATATAAATATTTAACCTATTTTCGAAACGAATACTTATAAACATCCTGTTTCGGGCTGATTTCTATTTTGAAATTGAAATTCTTTCAAGCTAGTTTAGCTGAAGCTATGTATGCGTATGTGAATCATCCCCGAATCAAAAGGAACGTCTTTCTGCAAGCTGAACATCTTTTTTTCGAGTGCAGGCAGGGGCAGGAGCAGCCGAGAACTGCGACGAGCGCGGCGCACTCGCTCATCTTCCCCGCGGCTATTGGCGTCGTGCAACATTGCAGGAGCCTTTTCCTGTGCTGCGCGCTGCCGCTGAAAGGCCGGCCAAAAGACCTGGCGAACGAGCGGACGGGCAGAAGGGAGGAGGAGCGGTCGGGCGGAGGAGCAAACTGGCGAACGGGCGAATGAGCGACCATGGGCCATGGGCCACGGCCATGTCGCTGATGATTCGTGTATCGCAGCCGCCGCCAGAGCGTTTGGCTTCTCCCGAAATTTGAATCTGCCTGCATCTGAGGACTTAACGAATATGAACGAAATGGCCCGCGGCGCTTTCAAAATATTACCACACTCGCGCTCGGCTACGAACTACGTAGTACGTACATGCGTTCGAGTTCGAGTTCGAGTGAATGCGGAAAATTATGGCGAAGTAGTTGCAGATACAAACACTCAATCACAAGGGCTCCATTTGCATACGCCGCCCTCCCCGGACCGCCGGACCGCCGGACCCTTGGAGAGGAGCCACGAGGCCTAAGCCCCATTAACCATAACCCCTAGGATCGGAGTCTGCCGGCTCTGTTCCTGAAAGTAGATCTGCCACTCGCTCTGAGGGATTGCTCCATTTAAAGGGTTTTGCGCTCTTGCGACTGTTAATTAGACCTTTTTCTGACCACCATACTTTTATTGGATTTCACTGGCCTGGACACTACAAAGCGGACAGATTTTATGCTCATATAAAAATAGGTTTCCTCGTTAGTTCTTAAGAGAAAAACCATTTTTTGGAGGTCGTGCACAGGGAAAGACTTTTTGGAAAATTCTGATAGAGGTTTAACTCAGTGGTTGTTCAATTTCTAGCTTGGGGAATGCTGTGCTATATGTTTATCCCTCAGAAAAAGTTGCACTGCACCCAAGAGTTTATAACAAACATATAAATTAAATGCTGAATTTGGTACACGTTCGCTTAGTTAAAATACGCAAAGTTTAACTTTAAAACGCTTCGAAAATGTTCCTGAGATAGAAATTGTAAAAACGAACCTATGAAATGTGTATACGCTTTAGATTAGATTTGGCTTTTAGAATGCAAATTTTTCGTACCTGTCAACGAAAAATACATCGTTTTGTTGCAGCCTTTACAATTGATATTTAAAATACAAAATTCCTCTTTTAACCCTAAAAAAAATCTTTTTTTTTCGTTTTGATATGCAGATTTGGTTTAGAACCTTTGGCCTTAACCAGATTCATACTCGCATTATTTTTATCTTTTTTTTGACCCTAAATAGTTTTATATTTTTACCCCGTTTAAATTCGCTTGAATATAGGCATTGCTGTCATTATTTTCTCGTGATACCCAAAAAAATGAGGCATAAAAGGGCACTCGATTAAACCTTCTCTTCTAAGCCATCTTTTCTGCAGCGCCCTGCGCAATTTATGCCGCATTATTTGGGCCGCACATTGTTGCGGCTTATATTTTTGGAAAATCACTACTCCAGCGCTGATTGTGATTTGCATGTGGAATGCACTTGTCTGCGGCCGACAGAGCGGGCCGAAAGAGCGGCGGGCCGATAAAGGAGTTGCCTCAGATTGGCGGCAGTCGAGCCACAGAGCCAAGTCGGGCCACAAGTCGGGGCAGCCAGTCGGGGCAGTAGTCATGCAGGTCCTGCGGCATTCACGAGTTTCTCCCGGGGCGATCGCATTTAAGACGCATCTTAAATGAGGTGCTCAGGCCGAGTCCTCGGCTCTTGGGCTGCTGAGCTGGTCAACTGCTGGGCTGCTGAACTGCTGGGCTGTTGGCTCTTGCCTCCTGACTCCCCGGTTTAGAGCCAGCTTATGACTGGCTCAAAGAAAGCTGCCATTTTCGGGAGTGCGCTGGTATGGGTGGGGATGTGGATGTGGCTGACTGGCTGAGTGGCTGCAGCGCACGAGATGTGCGATGGTGTAGGTGTGCGGCAGTTGGTAGGTAGTTGGTAGTTGGTAGTTGCACAGAGGTGTACTTGGCCGCATTTACCACGGGCACGCGGACCACTGTGCATCACGATTTATGGCAATGCTGCGGGGAGGATTGGGAATTAATTGGTAATGCGAGCAGTGCATCAGTATCAGTATCAGTATCGGTATCGGTATCCGAATCGGAGCTAAAAATGGCGGACCGATCATCGATCGATCGATCTCTTGTCGTGGCCGCAATCAAAAATCGTGCCGCCGCAATGAAATCGCTGAAACGGAGGTGGGTCGTCCGGCATTCCACCGCCGCAATTGGATAATGCACCTGATCACCGCTTCCACTCCACGAAATTTGTGGCTCCTACGAGGTAGCATCGTGATTCGCCGCACGTATATAATGTGCATGTGCAGTCGGCGGGATCACGGTTTCGTATCTCACTCTCGGCCCTCCTGCAAATTCGACTTAATAACTGCGTTCCCGATATACTTTGCCCTCGTTCCTTCCCCCGCCCCGCCCCGCCCCAAATTCCGTCCCCATTTCCCCTGACAACAAAAGGTAGGAGCCCGAATCCATTTGAGTCGCTTAGAACGCTAATGGCGTAATTCAATTGGGGAGACAAACATTCAAAGCTCGGTGATTCAATTTTCCACAGCTGCTAATCCTTGCCGCGTTCCTCCGCTGGATTAATTGTGTAACCTCAAAACAAAACGCGAAATGTCAACTAGGAATTTAATAAACGTCCCTTGACAATAACGAGCTTTGCTTTCAGTATTGTGGGAGTTTAAGGTAAAAGATACAACAAAGGGAGATAAATGTTAAAAGTATTTTTATTGTCTCCAAACCTTTCTCTGTCAGGGCTTCAACCAAACTTCATTTTTTTCTTGTTTCATGTCTGTGTTAAGTATTTTGATTCAACATCAATAATTTAACAGAAATAATTCGGATTTCTATTTTTACCATATAGTATTTTTTAATTTGTACTTGTAGAGAGTTGATAGTGCAAAGGTCTTTACAATATACAATATATTATACCGTAGGTATACATATATACTATTACTGAATATACTGAGAATATACTCTTGAGATTTATTCCTATATTCTTAAATGCTTATACCTGAAAAGAATTTACTTAAATATTTGTTATTTAAACTGACTAATAAAAGTATTTGCTGCGCTTTTACCTGGAAGCAATAAAACGTATAAAAATAACAACTATTATTGTTTTCTTCCGAGAGAAGACAAATCTGCGCTTTCATAAACTCGAAAATTGTCCATTTTTTTCTATAATTGTACAGTTTAAATTTGTTGGTGATTTTGGCAAGTCTACAAGTTAGGCATAAGTGCACATCTTACAATCCTAAGCAACCCCTCACTTTAATGTGTAACTTGAAGGATTAAAGCTGAAACACCGCGGAAACTACTTGGTGTAAAATTTAAAGAAATTTAGCTTTTTCAGTGATTAGAATTTGGCAAAACTTATCACAAATCCAAATGCGAAGTTGTTGGTTTTTGAGTTGGTTTCATCTAATCGAGAAATGTGTGTTCATTGTGTTTTTTCGAGCAATGGCTTGAAAGCTAAGGAAAATGAAAATCTGTTACTTTCAGTTTGTTTTGATTATGGTGCGCACACTTATTCGGGTGGATTTGAGTGCGGAATATGTAAATTTGCCCACCTTTGGCAGGGCAACCCCCGAACCCTCTATAAGTCCGTAGGTACACACACACACACACACACACATACATAGGTGCGCGGCGGCTTAGTCCCCCGGAGAAGAAAGAACCCGGAGCACGTACCACTGGCGAAGTGCGAGAGCTGCGAGGCTGCGGATGTCCAATGCCGGGGTTTCCCCAGTAGCAACCCGGCAGTCGAGCAACCCTCGGGGCACGTCGCCAACCCCGGCCATTCGCATTATGCTTGCAACCCCTATGACTCCCCGTATCTCGCCAGTATCTGTGTCTGTGTCTGCATCTGTAAATGTATATGTATCTGTATCTGTATCTGTATCTGCACTTGTATCTGTGCCTGAACACGTATCTGCATCTGTATCTGAAGCTGCGCTGCCGCAGCCTCTGGCCTTTCGTTTCGGGTTCGGCCCATTGTCTAGTAGTCCGCTGGCGGGGCGTGGCTTCCGAAATATAAATGGCTGTGCTCTCTTCGCTCGCCGCGCTCTCTTCGGGAGCCGCTGAGCCGCTCTTCGATGCCCGAGAGCGAGAAAACCTGCTTGCCGCGTGTCTGTGTGCGGGCCTCACACATACGGGCGCACGGCGAACGGGCATAGGCTTTGGGCACTTTTCCTATGTATTCCGCAGATGTATGGGTGGAAAAAACAGCAGCCGCAGCAGCAGCAGCAGCATCTGCAGCAGAAGTAGCAGCGGCAGCAGCAGCAGCGGCAACATCGCACATCCCCCGAAGGTTTTTGCGTCCAACCAGAAAATCCAACTTCAGTCGAGAACTACGTCTGGTGGCTGCGCAAAGGCGGAATTTCGATTGCGGGTCCTCGCTTAATTAACCGAACCGAAACTGAACCGAAACAGAAACAGAAACCGAAACCGTACCGAAACCGCTCCGTTCCGTTCTGTTCCGTTCCGAACCGATCCGCAGGCTCGATTACAACCGTGTATCTAGATTCGAATTCTGACCGAAGTTGAATAGCAATCGCAGTAGCAATAACAATCGTATAGTCTGTAGTGTTTAGTGTACATAGCGGCGGATACGTAACTCTAACTCACCACCCACAGTTGCCTTAACCAGTGCCAAAAATCGATTTTCAATAAATACTTACCTAGTGATCGTACCTGTTCGCATCTCGGCTGGCCCAAGTGTTCAAAAGAAACTCTATGCCTATGCCTATGCCCTCCTTCTAACCGAAACCGCCGCAGTCAACTTGGATCAAGATGCACATCCTCCACCGCACCAACGACCACCAGTTCGAGGACCAGAAGTTCATGATGGTAAGCACCGCAGCGTCCCAAACGAATTGGGGAATCGGGGCTCGACGGTTGATAAGCTCTATCCCAGTTGTCTGTCAGCCGAAATCCGCACAAGCTAACCCGAGTGCATCGGCGCAGCTACTCAAAATCAGATATTGAACCATCGAGTGCCCGTGGCCAACGCCGCTTGATTGACACTAAAATTTCTCTGGGCACTTTCGGGCACGCAAGCACTTTGGCCAATTACCCTGCGTCTCTTGGCCGAGATTCACACACAAACTGATTACCATTCCTGGCCATTCTAGCAGCAGAATCAATGACCAATTTACAGTAATGGGTTCCCCGAGAGTCCGTGTGGCACACTCTTGCTCTGGGAATAATAAGTACATAAACTTCAACCTGATGTGCCCACTCCAACGGCCAGGGGATCACTCAAGACCCTCGAAGGGTGTGGATTCCCAAATCAGAGTCCATAACAAAAGCATTTAAATTGAATCGGAGGGCATTAAACACCAAGCTCAACCAAAAACAAAACTAATCGAGTTCCTCATTCGTATACCATTCAGTTTTAAATGAGTCATATTAGCTAAATCTGAAAAGGATATGTTACAAACAATAACAATTATCCTATATTCCTATTAAATCCTATTAAATACATTTTCGACAATATTTAAAACATCTCTTAAGCGAAGTTTTCTAGCTTTGCATGATGGTAAAACAAGCCGTCGGCTTTCGAAGGAAATCTAAAATATTTTTTAGTAACATCCCACAAGCTGAATTTGCGTTTTCACCTCAAGAAATTAATTAAAAGTAGCATCTATTTAATAATCAATTATCACTCCTTCTTTATAAGCTTAAATAGCATTTTCAAGTACAGTTAATTATTCGCAACAGAAATCATTCAATGCACATAGCACATTTCCATAACTCTTTATAATAATTATTATTTTAAATATTATATAAACAATTACTAGCCACATTTTAATTTACATTTTGTATAAAAAACTAATCGGAGACTATCCATTATTTGAGATTAATGAGCTTTTGATGGCCACCATGCGTTTGAGGTCCTTAATAACTATAAACGTATTATTAAGCATGTTTGAAATATTTGCAGTATGGGAAAGTACACATTGAAACAAAAAAGGTTTCGGCTTTTGGGCAGACACGATTTGGAAACAAGAGCAAGGAAAAAACCACTGAGGTGGGAGTGATCAGACGTCAGAAGCCAGAATTCAAATGCGGAGCAATACCTCTCGCTAATTCTGGAAATGCGTGGGTACACGCTCCCCCCATTTAATTAGCGAAATTATATGGTGTTTCATGCTTCCAAGAACTTTTTTGATGTCCGATAAAAAAATAGGGCAATTTGCGGGGCAAGGGCCAAAGATCAAAACAAAAACACAGCGAAGGGGTAGGCCAAAAGACCAAAAGACCAAAAGTCATCGCCCACAAAAGTCGGGATGCCCGCCAACGAAACGGAATGTGGCATTAGCTCTGGCCGGCCCTTCGGGATTCGAATGCTGCCTAAATCAGGTAAGATCCCACTGGGACACTCGCGTGATCCGTTGCCAAAATAATTTATGAGATTGAAGCGCAACGCATCGTCAATTTGCGTGCGATGTTGCTCAAAGGAGAATGCAGAAAGTTCCCATAGCACACACGCTGCACGGCCCCCAAATATCAAAAATATTCAAGCATTGAGCTTATTTATTAGCAAACACTGTAGAGGCTCGGGCCCCGAACTCTGATTGATGGGATCCCGTATGATTTATTGAATAATTCCTTTATAATTTCAAATAATTGTTCCAATTTACCCTATGCAGTTCGAGACACTGTCGGTATGGTAATTGCGTTTGGGGGCTCAGCCTTATATACACAAGGATAATTTGGCTTTTATTGAATGTTTTGATTGTATATTTTGTAGCGCAGAATTATAAATATTGTAGATGGCTCAAGCAATCGGGTTAATAAGTAAATTACATTTTTAAACAAAACAAAAACAGAAGAGTCTTGGGCGAATGGGAATTAGCAAAAAGAAAAATGATTTGATTTGTGTAGGAGCAATGCGATCAAGGCAGATCCTGGTGCAATGTTTGCATACCATATTTATTGTTTCAGCAGTGCGGGCGAGATTAGGTTGGATCCTTGGCATCCGCTCGAAGGCATTTCCGCTTGTGCCTTCGCCATACGAGTCGAATATCCTCGGAGGAAACTCGAATTGCATGTGCACGCATCAAAATTGATTTCATTTGCGGAGAGGAAATTAAAAAGTCCAAACAAAACTAAATTGATTGGCAAGATAAATGTAAATGTTCATAACGTGGCCGAGATCCGCCAGCAGAATCAAGTGTCGGAGCGTCGACAACGCGAACGGCGTGTGTTAGGCTCGTGGCAAACCAAAGCCACATCCACATCCACATCCACGTCCACATCCAAAGCCAAAAGCAAAACCAAGGCAACAGCAAAATCATCGGTTGGCCGGTGTGCGTTACCTTTGCCTTCCCAAAGGACGGAGAAGTCCAGAGTCGAGGAGAACTGCAGTTTTCTTGGCTCACGAGGCTGCTGCACTGAAAGCCTGCCCTTTTAAACACAGACTGCAAACGGACGAGTCGGGCTGAGTTGAGTTAAAGCTACACAGAGAGATGCATTGTGCTAGTTCCTTATAACTCTTTATAAACTTTGAGCATGATATTGTTTAAATATTGCTTAAAAAGTATGCAATATAGAAAGCGTTGCATGAAAAGTTTTTGAATGCAAGTAATTAGTTAAAACGTTTATACTTTACCTAGCCATGTTAAATTGTAGCATGATCTTTTTTTCTAACAACAAAAAGCTACTACCGATAGATCTAACGAACATAATGAAAATCTTAAATCTTATGTTAAGGAAAACTACTTCTCCATATCATACATGAATAAAAAGATTTTGCATTATGTATTATGTATTTCAAGAATAATATTAAATTATTGTAGACACTTTTTTAGCGTAAAGGTATACTTTAAAAAGGGTTCTTTAAGAACAGTTGTATGTAAGACATTAATTTTATGTTTTTTTTTGTAACAGTTTAAGGCAATTTAAGTTTCCAAAGGGATTCTAAAAAAGTTTATATGACTTTGTTTATTAGCTAGTCAGGTACATAATTTATACGCTAGCAGTGAATAATTCCGGTGGATACTGCCCCTTCGTCGTTATGTCGTTATGCAGGGCCCAATGCACCTTTTTCTCTCCGTGTAGCTGCATGGCGGCAAAGTGGTCACTGCGAGGCTCGTTCTTCTATTCGTCATTTGTACGCTAGAACAGCGGACGCAGCTTTTCGATTTCGGCCGAGCAGGCTCCGCAAATACCCAGCAGGTTTAATACATTTATGAATGAGTTTTACTACTTCATTAAGGGCTCCCTCCTCCGCTCCTTCGCGGCTTTCTGGGCCAGGAGCGAGTCGGAGGACGAGGCCGACAGAGCAGACTCGGGCATCTCGGACTCCACGAGCTCCTCGAACTCCTCGGACTCCTCGGACTCCGCGAATCAGAGCGCGTGCGCAGCCAGGAGGCCGGGGAGAACCTGGATCGTAATAAGCAAAAATCGATTATCGTCCGCTGAACATTTCCATTGTTGTTATGAATATTATATGCAGCGTTTGGAGCGAAGCTTCCTCTTAAATTCGTTTAATTTATAGCTCTTCCGACAGTTCCAACTTGCAGCTCCAATAAATGACAGCACCGGACGTCGAACGAATGTGCAATCTAATTGGAAACGAGCCAATTTTAGGGCCCACTGTACCGGTTCGCGGACGGCCAGTGCCGACCGTGCGGACAGTATGTAAATTTGCTCGCCAAATCGCGCGGAAAACGCGGCGGTTGCGAATGGATTCTTTATTTACTGACAATATTATGACAAAGCCCGCATGAGCCCGGCTCTTCTATGGGTGTAAAGCGCTCTTAATGCCACTCGATGTCTCCATATCCATATCCCCGTGGCCGATCCAAAAGTCGGCCCCTCGGAGCCCCACCATCATTCAACTTGACAGCGTAATTAAAAGGACTGGTCCACACGAATAAAGTGAGGAGTTTTATAAGATGTTAGGGCCTACTTGTTTTATATGTCGCAATATAATTGGCGGCATTCGAGTCCGGCCCAGGTAGTCGCCGAAAAAAATGCGAAAATCGCGCAGACATGTTCTTTTCCTGGGCGGGCACTTCTTCGCTCTGGAGGAATGATTTCGACCGGCAATTTCGGTAATAGCGGCGGTCGGGATCGAGGCCAATTCCTGGCCCCGGCTACTGTATAAGTATTCAGAAATCATTACGTCATCGCCGAGGAATTCGGACGTGATTGCTTTTATGGAAGCCACGTGCTAATTTAATTACCATTCGCAAATACTTTCAAAGTGAGCGGTTTTTCACCTCTTTCACCGATCTTTGTTCTTGGGAGGGAAAATAGGTGCGCTGAGCTTATTATTTTGGGTTGTTTGTGATTCGGAGATTGTGTATAAAAGGATGTTTATATATTAATTAAAATTGCATTGAACGCAGTTTTGAAACAAAAACATGACAAGCGTAAGGTTCTCTTTATAGAAAATGAAACGAAAAACCACTTGACCACAATCACTGATTTATTAAGGGCGCGATGGTATTTACAACATTTTAATTTAAATTTTAAATTGGCCTTGAAAAGATAGAGTTAGTTTAAAAAGATTTAAGTAAAGCTTTCTCAAAAGTATTAACAGTCAAGTCGATATAGCCATTCTGATTTGTTTTGTCGGCACTTGTAGTTCGGGGACGCATCCCTGATTTGTTTACTATTAGGGAGCAAACTCACGATAAGTTCTATAAAATTTAAGTTAAATATGAAATTGTTTTCATTCACTTTCGTACTCGCTCACTTTCTTTTCGCACATTGCCTTTAAAAGTGGGCGTTTTGACAGTCTGGAAGGTTTTGCCACGAACTTAGTATTTCATCATCTCTGTATAAGATCATAATCATTTAATGTACGATATACAATAATATTTTCTTAACAAGAAAATTCACAGATAGAAAAGGCCTTATCGAGTCAGCTGACTTAATTTACAACGCTGAATGCACCCGTAAATCTTATTACATAAATATAAATAAACATTAAAAACATTGCTTATTGTTTTCCAAGTTTCAAAAGTTTCATACCTTAAAAATTGTATATCTATGCAAAATTTAAACTACACATAAAAAATTAACTTGTAACTGGTTTATAGAGCCATCTATCGGTGATTACCCGATTCTGGTTTTGTAAACCAAAACTAGATGCCGCATATGGAGCGTAAAACGATGTAAAATGTATGTAAAGAAAACAGATCAACCAATTCGGCCAAGCCACGCCCATTGAAAACTTCAGGTTCCTTTTCAGTTTTGTCCATCTAATAAATGAAGAACCCATTTCCTTAAATACTTATAAATTTGTTTGATCTGCCACCATATACTACAGAATTTTTACCTTACCCGTTAATCTAATCTCCTTCTCATCTGACAAATAAAATAAAAAGCGCCGGGGAAGTTATATCCTTGAAGTAATATTAAAATTTAGACTTCGTTTTGAAGTACGTAAGACATCATATAGTATAAATTAAAATTTTCTTTATGAAATATCAACAGCAGTTTGTTTTCTAAAAAAATTAAAAAACCGAGACTTGTTTTAAAAAGAATGTATAAACTGCAGCGTACACGTACTGCCTGGCTTCAATTTTTAAAATATTCCTGAGTTAATAATGCCAAATAAATCTTTAAAAAAAAAACACGTGTGCGAATGACTCCGTTAAAAATCGTCTCAAATTAAATATCTAAAGAAACAATACATTAAAATTGTTCAATTTAAATATAGTAGATTTGTGTATTATTCGTTAACATATTTTTAAAATCCCGCTTTTATATTTTCAGTCGAAAAATGCAAAATTAAAATAAAAAGTTAGAAGGCCAGAAGGCCAGCTTTAAATTCTTATGTTATTTGAAATGTTGAAAACAAATTGAGAAAAAATACGAAAGAAATGTGTACAACTTTGTTGTATTGACTTTGTTTAAATTGCGTGTCATTATTTGTATAATTTTTTCTATAAAATATGCTAAAATCGTGATGAGATCAAGTTTACTCCGAACACCTTATACTTAAAGGTAGTAAAGCTGATTACCCAAAACTAAATAAAATATATTAAGCAAACCAAATTGCCAGAAATATGAGTAACTGAGCAAATGTATAAAACGGAAAAAGGTGCTGTCCTCTGAACCACACATAATTGCACATTGCCACTGATATTTGCCAATTAATCGCATTACCTACATTTCTTGTGGCATCGAAAGATGCGAAAACCTAACGTTAGAAAACGGATCCAAACTGAGAAAGACGACGGGTGGCTGGGGGAGAAGCGATAGAAACAACAGTGGAGCACGAATCGTAATAGGCCGGCTAGAAAAGTGAACCCTGACTTCGGAGTCAAAACTCTTTTAATGGCAATTGATCATTCGCAAGTGGATAACATTTCATTAGAATACCGAGTGAAGTGCGCATTTATACACGGCGTGTATGTGCGTATAAGTTGTGCGCATGTGAGCCGGGCTTTTGTGGATGACCGTCGCTCGGAACACACTTGAGGTGAAACTATTTCGACCTGCTCAACAGCTTCCAACTGTCTACCTGTGCCTCCCAAAACCAGATAGTCCCAACCCGCCAAGACCACCGAAACCATTCGAACCTTTATAATTTATTTATCTTTATCTTGAATTACGCCATGGGAGTATTGACCACCAGAGTAAGTCCGAAATTTCAGCATATTCACGTCTGGCAATGGCAAACAATAGAGTAAAATTCTGAGTTTCATGTGATTGAAAACCAAGAGTTTCCAATCGCACAATTAATAATGAAGAAAAAACCCAGAACAAAATAAATAAATAAATAAAAATAACAGCAAAATAAAGAACAGCCACGGCCACGGCCACCGCCAACTGCCAACTGCCAACTGGCAAAGGGTCAAAAGCATTACTCAAAAGCCACGCATACCAATGAATCCCGCGTTGGCCAAGAGTATTGACGGTATTGAGTGACGGCAAGAGCCGAGAATAAGCGGCGAATAGTCCGCGACGGATGAGCAGTCAGCCGCGTATTAGCGGCTACCAAATATTAAGTAACATCCATCCGAGCAGCCGAGTAAACAATCTTAAAATATGCTTTACGGAATCGGCGGCGATAAATCTTGCGCCACTTACAGGAGCTGGATTTTGGGGCGATCTGCTAGTGCGTTTCATCCAGAAATACCGTTCTAATTGAACGGGGACTGAATACCCAGATTTGGCTTTGATTAGAGCCAAGCACGAATTCTTAGCGCGAAATGCGCCAAATCTCTGGGGATAGGAAAAGAAAACCACCGAGAGCCCAGCCGCCGATAGACGAATATTCACGCAAAACAAAGGGGAACCGGTTTACCTGTGTTCCTAAATATTCTATTTGATGTTGGCAAATGACAAGATAATCCAAAGTAATCAATCAAAATTATTTTAATTTATTAAGCCACAATAAAGTCGTGCCCGATCCGCAATTGCCACGTTCTTGGGCCCGCCGAAGACCCGCAAGACTGCTCCCTACCAAACTCGGTCCGTGGCCAAGTCGACTATCAAGATCGGTTCGTAAACACCCATATGTGGATATAATGTATATTCACTAAGTTTACATGAATAGCTTGTCGATTCATAATTTGATAGCAGGAATTTAGTAGTTCGGCCAACATTCCGCCAAGAAAAGGTCTCTATGATGGACAGATTGACGGAAGATTTGCCTAAACTGGTTTTCGGGGAACTGTAAAAATATGATTGGAATAAACCGTAAAAGGTTTTCAAGTGGAATCCGATCTTGAAAGGATTTATTTTTACAATTGCATCAATCAAATCTTCTCTGTTAGACAAACTAAAATATTAATAATGGGTCTTATCGGTTCACAACTGTTAACAAATTAAATCAGAAATGGCTCTTTTTGGAAATGAATTCCGAATTCCTATATAAATCATTCCTATATAAATCGCGGTGTCCACTAATAAATAGTCGCAAGAGATAAATAATTGAACTGTCATTTGAATGTGTAAGCAATATGAATTAGTTGATTAAGGCTCGCATCGAACGTGAAGAAATAGAGCGTATGGGCCGGGGCATTCATAGACCGCCTTGTTTGGTCCACTTGGAGGAGTTCCTTATTTGGACCACAATGAGGCCGGGCCTCCTCTGCCCGATGCGATCCATGCACACGCTCGCCAGTCGAATAAACATGTTCGATTTCTGAAAACCTCAACGTTTTGTGTCAAATTACTGTCATTCTTTTTCCGCAGTCCCCGGACACAATGCTGAATTAAGGAGGCAGGCAGGTAAATGAAAGCAGGCCTAATGTGCTGCAATCGCTGCTGGGACAGTCAGACGGGATGGCCGGGCCGTTGAGCAAATTTAAGAATCAATAACCGCAGTTAGGAATACCTAATGGTGTAACCCCACCCGGATCGCCCTTATCGCGTGCATCTCCCATTGACACTGCATCCTGCGAGTCCTGGCAATTCAAAGGGCGCGCGACTGGGCAGGATGTCAAATGGCTTGTGTGATATCATTCACTAAGCCGAGCTTCCGACCTCATTATGCGAGTCCTTTATGCCGCTCAGATTTAAATGTGCGCCCCCACAGCGAAGCCTCCGAGCCTGGCAATCACAATGAGCTTTATATAGTGGCTATATCGCTCCTTAGCCGTCGCCTTCGCCGACCTCTAACGGTAGCAGCGGTAACTGCGGCAAATGCGGCAACTGCGGAGCGCAGCCGGCGTCGCTGGCAGAAACCTTTTCGCCTTTGCGCCTTTTTGGCACTCTGCCGAGAGACTAGTTCTCATTTCGCGTTCGTCGCTCGCAGACTGCTGATGCTGCCGTCGGTCCGGAGGAAAGCGCGTGTCGGTCCCCCAAGCAAACCCCAGTCGATTCAGCTCACGTGCGAGCGCTATCCGTCGTGACATATAGAAGTAGGCCTATATCCGGAGCACTCCCCTCTTGCTCGAATCGGATCGCGGAAAGGCCCAATCAATATGAGTGCATAGCGTTTCAGTGGATCCAAATATGATAACATGACTCTAGCCTATGTGGATATGCCAGCTGTAATTCAGGTTCAGGTATTCTTCGGATCCAGAAGTTAGCGGTATTAAATTTAGAAATGATTGACAGTGCGTCGAATCGCTTGGCGGCTAAGAAACTTGACCTCCAGCGACTGAGTGTTTCAGTGACTGTTGCTGGTGATGCTTGAAAACGTGTTGAAATATTTTTAATCGGCGTTCATTATACGTCATTATGAATGATAAGTTGTGGAACTTAACCCGAAAACTAAAAATCATTAAATGATTTCTCCCGCATGAAAAACTCGTTGAGGCTTATCACATTGACTAACAAGAAACAAACGAACTTTGCCAATTGATGTGACTATTTAGAAGAAAATCAAAAATTTGTACTGGAATTATTTCCGTTTTTGAAAAAAGTAAATATTTTAAGTGATGCGGTAACCAAAATTGACATTTTAAACGGATTCGTTTTCGATTTAGATATCCTACTATCAACTCTGTCAAAAAAGTACTTTCAAAATAAAACAAGTTTTCAAGTTACATAAATTCGAGGATTTTGAATTCCAGCTTAACATTTGTAAAAGAATCGGTATATTCATGCATTACAAACTGCTTTTAAAGTATCAGGAAGTAACGACCTCATATTCTGTTTAGCTTGGGTTTGTTTGGGCTTTCAATAATAGAATGCAAATAAAAAACCAAATTATGTTACAAAGAAAGTCCAATGCTGTATATTTACCGCCGGAATTAATCACAAACTGTAATCCCCAAAAATGATATATCCCGTGAAATGCGTTCCCAAGACGGACTAACTCCAACTTGCCTGTCTTCCCCAGGAACGCCTCAGTGGACATGGGAGTCTAGGGCTGTCCAGCGGCAGTGCGGCGTACACAACGCATTCCGGCGGACACACGGGGCGCAGCGGACCGGCGACGGGGCACAGTGGGCACAGCAGCACCCATGGCTCGGCGGCCACCATGCACCACCAGTCGCTGCAGTCGGACTTCCAGCCGCCCTACTTTCCGCCCCCCTTCCACCACTCCACGCAGAGTCCCCCCCAGCAACAGGTAAGCTGTCCGCCCGCGGGCGCCCTGACTACCCCGAGCGTCATCCAGATATCCGGCTACTTGCAGAACCACGGGGCCCTCGAGTACCTGGGCACGGACCCCTACGGACAGCCCCTCTCCTCGCTGCACCACGCCCCGCTGCACCACTACAACCAGCTGGCGGGACTGAGGTCCACGCAGGACCAGCTGGGGATCCACAGGACCCACAGAGAGGCAGAGCTTCAGGGACATGTGGTGAGTAGATGAACTCCTTTGTTAACCTATCTTGAACCCGTCGGAGAAGGTGTATTCTTGATCACCTTAGATATATCTTTCTGTCTGTCTTAGATCTTATTAACCACTAGTGAAAGATCCTATACATAGGAGTTGTGTGAATATTCAAATATTAAGTTGGCGATTAGCCTTTAAAAAAGAATCCAGAATAAATTTTCTAACCATTCTCAATAAATTGTGTCTTTAGATGTAAAATAGAGAATTCATTTCAATTCTCAAATACCTTCGAATAGTTTAAATACTTTAAAAGGATGCATTTAATTGATAGCCTAGCCTTTGAAAACCTAGATGCTTCCTTTAACATTTATTAGGATACTATTATAGATACCTTACAAATTGTGATATAAAAACCTAAATTAGTGTTTGGCCAGATATACAAGATATACAAGGCAGTAATTTTCACAAAGTTTTTAAGAAAATCCACTGATGGCAACTTACTGTAAATACTAACAAGGAGGCAGTTGAGCTCGGGACTCAATCTTTTCATCCGTTTAAGAATTTGCGTCTTGCTCCACATTATTCTTGCATACTTTGCTACATTCTTGGCTTCGAAGGCCATGGAACACTCGGGGGTGGAAATTGGCCCATTCTGTGAAAGTTGTCGAAGTTATTTTTGAACGAATTCCATTCGAGTGCATTAAAAAAACATCCTCCGGAAAATGTAAAAAATGTTCTTTGGATTTCGCAAGAAAGTCTTGCCTTGAACGATGAAATTCCTAGCTCAGCCTTAGTCCGCCGAAGGGAGTCGGTTTCGCAGTTTCCCATTTCCCCGCAATGCCCGCTTCCCGGTTTCCCAGTTTCCCCACTCATTCCACTGGCAAGTGGTGCAGCGAAACGCAGCCTTAATGCCCCGAGAAGGCGTATCCTCGCAGGCTCTGCGCATCTGTCCGCCCAGAGGACTCTCACACAGACGCGGAGCTCGCAAGCTCCGGCGAGAGAGTGTGTGTGCGGCTTCCAGCCGGTCTGCATACATTAGTGGCAAGGACCTCGGATTGGCTGTGCGGCGACTTCACGTTCAACCCCTTGGCGAAACCGAAGCGCCGATGTATTAATAATCTCACAATTATTGGCATCAATTCTGCCATTCCAGCTGAAACGACACTGAGCTACAAAAACTGCGTTTCCGCTTGGTTCGTGGCGTTGAGAGCTGAAACTCTTTTGTTGTAAAATAACCTGGCCATTATGGAGTGGAAAGTTGAAATAATATTGAGTTGATAATTTCTTTAAGGTATCACATTTGTTAGTCGAATACATAGATGTATTCCTATTCCAAATATTTTTTAACAAGATCTATTGTATAGTCAACAATTTTTAAGACCATTTATATACACAAAGTTTTATAAATGTTTTTTGTTAATAACTATTTTTTTTGGCATGCTTCCAATTATATTTTGTGTGCTTAACTCGTAACTGTCTTCAACTTTGACACCTTTTCAGACACAACTGTCACACGGGTTTCCGTACACGGACAGGAGGAGCGATTACGGCAGTGCAATATCGGCGGGGGCTGCCCACGGAACCAGACTTGGTCACGAACACGAGTCCCTGGCGCTGCACCAAGCCCTCCAAAATGCTGTCGATGATGTCCAAGCTCCTGCCCTCGACGACAACGTGGCGTTTATGTCGGACTTGCCGCTTATAAAGAGTGAGTTGAAACAAGACACATTTCAATTGGGAGTAGATCCAAATGTCTTAACTACAGAATTGTTATTTAACACGGAAACATTTAAGCTCGCGGCTAACCAATTGAACTTAAATTTTCTTTAGATTGAAACAAGAAAGAAAGCTTGTTTGCTTTCTATGACAGCTATACGATATAGTCGTCCGATTTCCATTAAATCTATAGCAAACTATGTATAAAAAAAAAACTAAAAAAAAAGCTAAAGACGTTATACATTTTCTTTAATTAATTTTGTAAAGACTATTTGATCTTTTCTGTGGCAGCTATATGCTATAGTTATTCGGTTTTCATAAAATTTGAATAGGAGAAAAAACCGCGTAATAATTTTTTCCCTTTTATTTTTTGCGATTCCACCTACGGGATCTATCCAATATAGACTTCCGATCCGATCGTTTCAACAAGGTAGCTTTAAACATGAGAGACCAATTAACATAGATAAAGCTAAATTCCAAAACTTATTGAGAAAGTATTGGTTATAATGACGCGCGTCTCGTGGGTTTGACTTTGTACGAATATTTAAATTGGACTCGCAATATATGCATTCTTTACATTGTATAAATATATATCTTTAAAAAAAATTGAATGGAAAAAAATAAAACAAAACTGTAGAATTTATTATTGCAAACATTTGCTTGTTCTGTTCGAGGCACAGAGGCATACAAATTACTCATAATCATAACGAACTTACAAGTTACATGCCACTCCATGTTGCGAACGAGGCGGAACTACGAACACGCCTAAAATAACAATGCGTGGACCAACCCTCGAAAATAGGGAGTTGTGTGCATTGTGAAACTGAATCTTGCCCTTCTAATTGGCGGGATTCGGGTAAAATGATCCCCACGTCCTGCGTTCACACTTTGCTCTGCCGAAACAATAACAACAATAGCAATAATAATATATTTTCCTAGCCGTGAACAATATGGTGTGCATACTCATGGAATCTGAATTCGGTGTTGCGTTTTTTGCAGGCATGAAAAGCGGAAAAGAAGCCGGCAACATTGGGTCGGGTTCGCCCAGCGAGGTATTCTGTGCAGTTCCTGGCCGCCTTAGTCTCCTGTCGAGCACCTCGAAATACAAGGTCACCATAGCCGAGGTGCAGCGCCGCCTGTCGCCACCGGAGTGTCTGAACGCCTCCCTTCTGGGCGGAGTGCTCCGAAGGTGAGTTCGGAAGGGATCCTCCTCCCATTGGCCCCCACTCACACGCGTTTTTCTTTCAGGGCCAAGAGCAAGAACGGCGGGCGCCTGCTGAGGGAGAAGCTGGAGAAGATCGGCCTGAACTTACCGGCCGGCAGACGAAAAGCGGCCAACGTAACACTGCTCACGTCCTTGGTGGAGGGGGAGGCAACGCACCTGGCCAAGGACTTTCACTTCGTGTGCGAAACCGAATTCCCCGCCAGGCAGCTGGCCGAGTACATCGTGCGCCACCAAACGGAACCGCAGGATTCTTACCGACGGAAAGAGCTCATACTCCACTCCCAGCAGGTAAGGACCTAACAATTGAGCAGCTCTACTTTTCCAATGAAATCTTGAGGGGCTTACATCTAAGTGTCGATAAGCATTTATTGTTATCAATCCTATTAAACCATATATAATCGCAATAAATTTATAAGAATCAACAGATTGAACTAACAGCTTGAATAACGATATTTGTATTTTCTATTAAAGTTTGATTATTTATTAGTCACAACGATAGTTTAATCAGAAGGATAGAAAGTGCTTCAAGGCTTTTCATTCCTATATTATTAACGCAGGGTTTTAACGATCTTAACAAAATGTTTAATCTTCACAAATACGTTTATATTTTTAGATTACGAAAGAACTTATGCAGATCTTAAGCCAAGATCGGACCACCCACTTCGGTACGAGATCACAGCATTTGTTAGAACCCTCGATGCAACGTCACTTAACACACTTCTCCTTGATAACGCACGGATTCGGATCGCCGGCAATTATGGCTGTTCTGCACGCTTTCCAGGTATGGTTCTATTAAAGCAACCCAACTCCAGGCATTAACTCCCAACTCCTTCTTTGCAGACCTTTTTGAATGAATCTTTAAACTACTTGGAAAAGCTGTATCCTTCGAATGGCGGTGGGATGGTGTCGTCATCGTTGGACAAAAGTAAAATTGACAACGAAAAAAAATGATAGGCTATGTTGTATATTGCCACATATTAAAGCAAGACGTAGTTTAAGATTAACTCTCCATACACTAGGTACAACATCGATAAAATTAATAAAATTCCTGTAAATTAATTTATTTAGTTAAGTGTAAATTATTGGAAAATTTGTATATCTATAACTGTAATTTGAATGTACAATATTCAAATATATTAAAATACGTATAATTTATTTAACTTAGAAAAATACATCGACTTTTTGTCAAAAGCACGAAGCTTTTTACAACTAATTCAAAAAAATCTTTACAAATACACTTATTTGTATGTAGAAATGATTAAAATGCTCTCATTTTTAATTTTTTAAGTAACTTACAATTTAAAGATTTTAAAATTATACAAATGAATAAAATGTGTTTTTAAAACTAATTGTGTGGGACTATTTTATTAACCATACTTACCATATTGGTAAGTTGGATAAAAGATATACGGGTTCCTAAAACGATGGACCAAACTTTTCATAATATAAAATATTTATTTTTAGAAATGAATCGACGTTTTAAGAATAAAACGAATAATATAACAACAATCAAGCTTAAACTAATCATAAATATAACCGGAGTTCTTAAACTATCACCGACTTGGCTTTGTGTAAAGTATTCATTGTCCTGAGACAATTTTGTGATTTCCTCATCCAATAAATTTTTAATAATGTTGATCTCATTTTCTGCAATAATAAAAATAAACATTAGATTATTCCGAAAGAAACGTTATATAAAAATTTATGTCTACCTTCGCTTCTCTCCGTAGCCACGTTCAACATTCTCTCTTCACCGACTTTTCGATTTGTCGGGATTAGCCAATCAAGCTGTTCACAAATATTTGTTACGGAACCCTTTAAATTATTACTTACTATTCTGAGAGGAAGGGGTGCTCTTTTTAATTTTTGAAACTCTGATATACGATTTAGATTTTGCAATAAACTGGATTTGTGAGAGTTTATTGCAAAATCTAAAAACGTAATTAGTAGCCAGTAGCAAGCCTTTTCGAGATGAGTCGAATCTAAACAGTTGGAGTCGCCATATACAGCGATTCTCCCTTCTTTTTTGGTTCCATAATTATTAGTTTTGGCGAAGCTGATACTTCTTTCTGCCTTTCGTAGTAGCAAGACCCTATTTTTGAATGTTGAGTAGTCTGTCGGTATACTGTCCACCAAATTGCTTTCTGCATTGCTCATGATTTCCTCGTTGCTTTCAATACTGTTGGCCTTGGTTTGAAACATTCCGAAAATGGGTACATCTATTTTAGCCTCCTTACTAGGTGTCTTAGAATTTATTATCTGGAATATAACTAGCTGTATTTAAGGTAAGATAAAGCATTTCAAAGCAAACATACCGATAGTCCTTGATCATTCAGCTTTGTTCCGACCAAAATATCCCCCGGGTTCATCGGAAACTTGATAATAGGGGCTCCACTAGCATAGTACATCGAATGGTCTCCCAGTTTAAAGTGTCCCTCTCCAACAAAATCGCCAAAAGCTATTCCGAACGGCTTCAACAAATCATTCAAGGCTGGTATATTGGCGCCCCCGGTGTCAGGCGTCCACCATTGTCTGGTGTTTTCGTCAAAGAATTTAATTTTTTTCATCACCGTTGTGTTATACCAATCTCCGAATATGACAACATTCAGACCTTTCTCATACACATTTTCTTTTAAAGCGTTTATTTCTTCGTCGCTAAACTCTCTCTCAGGGTCGACAATCAGTAATGCGCCGTAATCTGAGGCGTTGAAACAGGTGAAGGGTTCCCGCAGAACGTCAATATAGTAGCCGACATTACGCAAGTGTGTATACATGTCCTTAAAGTTTGTGTGAATATGGTCTGCCCTCCAGTCCAAAGGATCTAATTTTACTTTCAGATCGTCTCTTGGAATATATCGAGGTGGATACCTTAAGCTGTGATACTGGTCCCACAATATTCTTTTGTTCCTGGGTGGTTTTTGTGTTACTTTTACTGTCAGTGGAAACTCGACTTCTGTAATATGAGTTTCGTTTGTTGATTCTTTAAGGCTTTCCACAACCAAAGTGATACTTCCTTTACACACCCCTTCAAAGTTTTCTCCATCCTTTTTCACAGCTGAAAATTCAACCAAATATGAAATATTGAAAAGATAAGCTTATTCTTTACTTAAGGTTCTCGGCCAAAAACAGTACTCAACATGGTATTCAAAAATTTTTATTTTGATTTTTTAAAGCTTTTAAACTTTTAAAGGACGACTCTAATAATATAAATATAAATATAGTATATGTAGTTCTAATAGGAGAGATCAAAAAAGCTACAATTTATGAAAATATTTGTAGCATAAATATATTCGATTCGATTTATTGTAGTTTTTTACAACTCTTGAATAATTTCAGTTAAACTTGAGTTGTGAAATGCAAGAATCTTAATTTTCCTATTACCAAAAAGCTGTCAATGTTCCTTGGGAAGTAAAGCAACTATTTTTTTCTTTGGAACTTCAGTCAAATTAAAATTAACCATTTAGTTCATTAATATCTCACCAATAAACACGGACATCCACCCGGTCCACGGCCATAGGATAGTCGAGACTTCTGTTGATATTCGAAGAAATTGGCCATGATGATCGAGATCGGGAATCCATTTTGGGGTGCCGACAATATGACTGGTTACCGAAATGCCGTTAAGTATTGTCACGTTTGCTATAACCACTGAGCTCCCAAAGTACAGCGGCTGAGAGCTGTACGGCCACATGTAGTTTGCGGTAAAATCGAGGTATGGTGGAAGCAAGCTTATCTTGGGCTTATACGATAGCAGCAACTGCATGCTCTTTAACAGATTCAGTTTTCCTGCTCCCTGCTCAAACATGTTATAGTGCGGGAGCTTCTCTGCGCCTTCAATGAGCACCTGTTTTAGTGAAGCTGGGTTTATCAAATCGATTTTTTTAAATGCGCCGCTTATAAGTAAAGCAGCTACGCCTGCGACAACTGGTGAGGAAACGGATGTTCCAGACAGGCTTCGACAGCCTTTGTGCACATCACTTCCTTCCACTTGACTTCCATAAGTGACGACATCGAGACCCAATCTTCCATATCCAAGAGGAAGCTCCCACGTCGTCATTCCTCGTGAACTGAACTTTGCGATTTTATCGTCAAACTGAATACCTCCTACCCCAATCACATCACTTTGGTCCCCGGGATTGTTCAGTGTGCCATATAGGGGGCCATCGTTTCCAGCTGCCGATATCATAATGACATTATTGGCAGACAGTTCCAAAACCTTTTCAACGAACGGCGAGTCCATAAAGTCCGGACCACCTATGCTGAGGTTGAGAATGTTTATTTTCCGGTATATTGCATAGTTAAAGGCATCCAAGAACCACGAAGTGTAAGAAACCTATCGTCGGATATATTTATTTGATTTGTTTGGTTAGGAAAATTAAAAGATGTCTTACCTGCGAGTTCGTAAAAACTTTGAATATGTAAAGATCAGCATCAGGAGCAAAGCCTAGGCATTCCTTTGAAGAGGCAATTACCCCTGCGACAAAAGTGCCATGACTAACTTTGTCGTCAAGAGACTTTTCATTTGTCCAATTTGTTCGTTCCTTAACATTTCGAAAGTGTGGATGGTTTTTGGTTAAGCCAGTATCAAAAATAGCTATCTTGACTCCTTTGCCGGTGATGCCAAGTTTCCAAAGAACGTTGGCGTGCAGAGCTGAGCAAACTTGCCTGTGGCGATCATTGTTTGAGTTTCTGTTTCTTAAAACTCCTCGCAAATGACGGTTTACAATTGTAGTATTGCTGTACTGGTCATAGTTCAGTATTCGCCGTACACTTTGCTGTGGGACCACTGTCCTTACTGATGGGTGAGATTTTATCCTTTCTACAATTACATTAGCTAACGTTTCGTCTTCGGCTAAAACTCTTAGAACATCGAAATCGCTTGGAAATTTCCAAGCTAAATTGTCACGTGGGACAATAGTCCAGTTTGTTATCTAAAAAATAAAATAGAATTTAATACACATACTCTTTATGACACGATTTACTGCTATTTGTTTCCCTTAGATGCAATTGTAATCTTTAGTTTAAAAATGTTATACAGTTGTTCAAATCTGTATTTAAAAACTTTTCTGAGATATAAATATCAACTTATGAGTGCTACGTGTTTTCTTTTCACTCTTACGTTAGGGCCATGCAGTTTCGCTTTGATGAAGGACTCTCTGACCGGTGAATAGTATTTTGAATGGAATTGAACAATAAACTCATTGGGGACAATGGCTGTTTTAAAGCCGTCAAGACCGCAAATTGCACTTATGATTAATATGATGGTGAACACATTCATTTAACTTTTTTGGTTTGATTATACCCAAAGAACAAATTCAACAGGCTCTGTTTCTTAAGAAAAACAAATAAACAAACAAGACAGAATCAGCTGTTTAGTGGGAACGTAAACGATATAGACGAAAACACCACGAAAATCATATACTAAAGATTCCAAGTTGGGTATATACCTTTACAAATTTAGTTTTACTTTAATTTACATTAAACAGTTCATAACTAGAAAAGCAATAAAGTCACCAAAACAATACGTAGGGATGGACTTGTAAAAATAATTAAGACTTTGAATTATTATGTTTGTATGTATTATTATGTTTTAAAACGTTTATCAGCCTTTTGGCATATATAAGTTTTGGTCATACTACGTCTCGTCCGGCAAGTTTTTTAAGCAAGTTAAAGTTGAATAAAAGTATTTAAAGCTAAGAAAAAAGCAATCAAGGACATCATAGCAATAACTCCCACCGTCCTAAAAAGAAAGTGTATGTCTTCAGACAAAAAAAAAAGTTATATTGACTAGTGGCGACTAGAAAGTGTTTTATACTCTTGGTGACAAAATCCGGCAGGATAGCAAGATTTACTAATTTAGTTCTTTAGCTTTTCTAATTACAAACTTTTTAAGTAAAAACCCTTTAGTACCTTTTTGCCGATAAGGCACATTGTATTTGTGGATGTTCAGGATGTTCATAATCACAAATAATATTCAAACTTTTATTTAAAAAAAACATCGCAGTATTTAATTAAACTGAATCTTTGGATTAATAATTGATAACGTAAAATTGTTAAAACCTATAATGAACCACAGGATACTTCATAAGTTGCAATTCTCTTTTTGCCCTTCAAGAAAGAAAACAACACATAAAATGAAGGGACGAATACCTAGGGAATAAAAGGTTATACTTGCTAACTTCATTAGCACCCCGTTCATTTATAAGTATGGTATACAAAACTATATAATTTGGAAGAAGGTCAAAATATTTTATTTTAATCAATAATTATAATCATTTTCTTATCAAGACTCGAAATGTAATTACTCATATTTTTTCCAATTCCAGATTAATCAATTAAAATGGAGGAGCTTTGCAATAATTCCGGACACTCGGCTACTTCTAGTAGTGGAAGTAACTCGTCAATATCGGCCAAAACCGCTTTGAGTGAATGCTCTGCGGCTTGGATTAACTACTTAAGCGCTTTAAATAATTTATGTACTGCCGGATCAAAGCTAGCGCATTCAATTGCTGTTTTGGAACAGTGGTCTCTTAGCGAAAAACCATTGTTTAATAATTACACAACATCCTATTTAACTAACTCATGGAACGATCTCGCAAGGTAAAAACAAAATTCCTACAAAAAATCTCTATTGAATTGAATATAACTTCATCTACCTACAGAGCTACAACCGTGGCTACGGGAACAGTAAAAACTCATATGTTGGCCTTACTGCAAGACTTTGTTACCATATCATCAATGGATCAAACTTCTAATACCGAATTGGATCAAAAAAGGTTTAGAGAGCACAACGAACTAATTGTATTGGAAAATGCACAAGCTGTAATTAACATTCAGCACCAGTTTTGTGCAGCCAGCTATGATGCATTTTCATCCTTAACCTGTTGCTTTGTTTGCCAATCCCCAGTGGGATTCCCACATGAACAAGACTGCAGTGTTATGAAACAACGGTACGTTATTACGTCACTTTCACTTTTTGTTTTATCATTACTAAGTACCATTTTATTAATTTAAGCAATCAATATGATCAACGATCCCAAACTCCATCGCCCAATTTATGCGGGCCAAGTACAAAAATGGATTCATCTAGGGGAAATTCATTAACCGACCAGCGACCAATTTCAACAGCAATTTCGGAAACAGGTATATAACATGTGTAGGCCAAGTATTTGAACGCATTATAAAAACTCTTTTTTTTTTTGCTCAAAGCTGATCAGCCCCGAGGTCCTTCCCCTCAGTTGAATTTCTGCGACGCCAATCCAATGCAAGCTATTTTCGAACACACACGCGGTCCCTTGCCAAACCCAGGACAATTACTGTCCATGAAGATACCATTCCACCGAAACGTCAAATCTTCCCTAAGTTTCCCATTGTTTCCTCTGAATGGGCAACGTCGTTGGTCAGAAGCTGCTGCGGGAGAGGTGATAGACGGGATTTCTACGGATCCTGAAAGTCAGATGAGGAGGTGGTCAATGCCGTGGGAGGCAGCAAAGACTGATAGGAACACAGTAACTTGGAACCAAACTAGAATAATGCCAATGAACACGTTAAAGGCTTCTAGCTACAAAATGTCGAGTTCTGAAAGATACACTTCTCATAATTCTGGTACTCCTAAATATTCTTTTCCGAATATAAAAATGGGCATTAACACATTTTATTTCAGATGGAAACTGGCCGTTGGCCTCAACTAGTCAAGATGGGCTGTTAGAAGCCATTCAACTACTGTCTATCAGACCGACAACCGTTAGTCAGATAAGTCCCCAGCCCTCGATTCTATCAACTTCTCCAGATGGGGCTCCACTTGACTAAATAATACAATTTAAAAAGAAATAATATTTAAGCCAATTTTCAATTAAAATACATATTCTCAGATAGACGAAAATAAATACATATTTGATAACTCTTTTCTTTGCTTTGGTTAGTTTATCTGGATTTCCACAAAGTGGGGACTAAGACGAAACTGGCGATAGTAGGACTTGAACACGTATTAAAATGTAGACGTATGTTAATCTACTAGTAAAATGATTTATTCGTGCTTTGTAAGTTTGTTATGTATGTATAATGCCATTCATTATTAGTAGGTAGATCTTACACGCTTACTGTAAAGTAAATCTTTTTTTATGGAAATTATAACACTATTAAGATATTTTCTATTTCTTATGCCTAAGAACACTTACACTTAAAATAAAAGATACTTTATTTTTATTATTACGTCCATAATACGATCCAAACTTTACGGATATTGCGCACATATATTTGCTTACACATATGTATTGGGACATTCATACGCATAAACTTACAAAATTATAATTATTAACACTACTTTTATTTTATCCCGGGTTAAAAGATAAATTTTGTATCATACAGTTCTCCTTTCTTGTTCAAATTTTTAATTAAAGTCTATTAATATGTTATTGTTTGATTATGTATCTAAAGATATTTCTATTTGTAATGTGGAGCTTTACTATTTTTTAAGATAGAGGGACTTCAGGAAACGTAAAAATATCTACACAAATGGATGCCATTGAATCAAAAAAATATATGTAAGAACTAAAAAAAAAATTAACAAAACAACATCATTGGTCTTATCTATCAAAATTTGTTATAATCTGAATCATCTCTGCTCCTCCAAAAGATTACTTTTTGCATGCAAGTATTTACATGAATCCATAAAAAATATTAGTTTTATTGATAATTTGTGAATACAAAAACCCCTTTAGAAAGACTGATATAAGTAACTGAGGAAGATTATCTTCCAGACCGACGATTCCTATTACATAACTATTTAAAGTTCTATGTATTTATTTTTTAAGTGATTTTTTTCCTGTTATCTAATATGAAAACGTATCTACAATCGTTGAACGACATTGCAATATGTGTAAATGTATTTTATGATTACAGGAGGGTATATACTGTATTCGTTTAAGTTTTTATATGAAAATGCTAAGCTTTTTTCAGCTGTGAGTTTTAATGCTGATCTTTTAAGTTGTCAAATTGCTTATCTCCGTAATGCCTACTACCCAGAATGAAAGAAAAAATCAGTTAAAATAAACCTAAAGTTTCTTCTATTTAAGGTGAATTGTTTAATGTTTTCCCAAGAAGCAGCGTCACAAATCGGACAATAATACCTATTGTGTAACTGTAGAGAATTTTGTTTCCACATTTTATACTTTCCAAATAACCATACAGAAGATTTTTAGCAATTGCTACGCTTTTACGAATGAGGATATAAAAACATAAATGAACCTACCTCGATATGTTAGAAAATTTCTCACAATTCTGGGAAATAACAATTACGTAACTAACTAAATTATATAAAACATTTCTTATTGCCCTTGTGTGCCTTTGAAATTCACAACTCAGAAAAACCATCAAACTGTAATGCAGAACCAAGTAGGGCTGTGGAGATATGCTTCGTATAAACGTGGTAAGTGTTTTTTATCTGACATCGACATGCTCATTGTCACTCAAAAATGTGTTGACAGTACTTGTGCCTATGTATTTACATATATTTTTTGTGCAAATATTCGAATTTCGCTTTCCTTAGTTAAGTTCAATGGCTCATTTGCCGATCGTATTAAGATAAGTTCTTCCTTATGTAAATGGCCTTCTTTCGGACCCTTATGGTACGACTTAATTTTTCCTTAATAATATTAGCAATTTCGTTTGGGCTGATTTAAGATCTGTTTTGAGAATAATTATGATATAATCCGGTACTCAGTTCATGGATCGGGCTATCGGTAGACTGAGCCTAACATTTATGCTCAGGATTCTTTACTCGAAGTTTAAAACACTCCTAATGCCTACATAAAGTTTCTATACCATGAAATAAAAAACCAACGCAAAGAATACACCAAAAAACTAACGAAATAATTTCTAAAATCTTTGACAATTTTTTTTTTAATAAATAGTAAATTATCTTCACAACTTGCTAATTTTTTTTTCTTCAAGCAATTATGTAAATGTTTTTTTTTTCTGCATAGAAAAGAAAATACCTTTAAAGATCATCTTCATATAGTTAAACATTGCGGAAGTTCATTCATTTTTAATCTATTGAGAGAAGTATTCTATTGAGATGTCATTTAATACGATTTCTTAATGTACATATATGTAAGTTTAATTATTTGCTAAAGTTTTAGTAAGGCACCATTTAAATTATATTTGCAAATAAACCCTACTCATCTCTTAAACGCTAATGAAGGGACAGAAAACTAACATAAGAGTAGATAATGCTATTCCAAAGACTGTAGGGGATATTCTAATATTGCTTGAAATGCCCATTTTATATTCCATATCAATATCGAGAAGAAGGTCATGATTTCGCGTGTAAAACTGATGAATATCACTGATCTAAAGAAATATTAAAAGATTATATTAACTTGTGTTAAACTTTGTTAGCCCATTCAATACTTACCTCGTTCCATCCATATTTGTTTTTAGCCTGAACAATTGCTTCATAGACAGCATTGTGCTCCAAATTTTTGACAAGATACGACATTTGGAAGTGGGATGCATCAGTTCTAATTGGCGTTGGCTTGATGTGATATTCATGCCATTTGCCAGGATGTTGATAGGTCTCGTTCATCTAAAATAAACAATTTATTGTACTATCTTACAAAACCGACACCTTTCTGGAACATTACCAATAGACGCCGATACAAAAGCTTAATCTCATCCAGCGGAGGAATAGACTCAATTGTCCACGTCAAATTATAATGGTCCAGGAATCCACTTAATGCTGGGGAAATAAAATCAGCTGGACCTGGTCGCCCAGATACTTCAATATATTTCTTTGTTCTCCCCAATGCATTATCTGCCACGCAGCTGTAATTGCCGAAATCCGTTGGCTGGAAGTTCCGGATAATGAGGCTGTATTTATCATTGCTTGGATACATAGACCGCCGGTCGGTTGCATCAAGTAGGAATGAGTTTTGGTACCACAGCATCTTTAAGAACAAAAAAAAGATTTAGGCAATTCGTGCCAAGTGAAAAGGAATGCCGTTTTTTCCCCTTACTTCTGAGTTCACATCCCCATGAACAATGCACACCAGCTCCACATCGTATCCTTCGGATGCATGGACCCAGGACTTCTGCACAGTTATTTCTGGGGGAGCTGGGACAATGAAATAGGCAATTAAAGTCAATTGGATTTCTGAGAATTAAATTATCTTACAAAGTATAGTCAGTTGTATGTCCATGGATACGCGATCTTTAACCCCATTATCTGCGGAACACTGGTATGTTCCTGCGTTATGCCTGTCCACATTTTCCAATATAAGCGTTGAGCTATCCGACAAGTGGGTTGGCCCGGAGAATACATCTTTCTTGAACCAGAATATTGTGGGCACCGGATTACCGGACGCCTTGCACTCTAAGGTGACGGTGCTTCCCTTCCGAGCAGTCACTTGTCCGTTGTGTGGAAGGGCCCTCAGTGTAGGCGGGACTAAAGAGAAACATGAATTGCTTGCAACATTACTACTACTACTTTAGCTAATAAAACTCACCCAATATTTCTACTGTATGCACTTGGTCGCGATTTTCCTGATCTCCCAGCTGGCATATATAATCTCCAGCGTCTTGGGTCTTTACTCCATTAATCTGCAAGTTATAGTCTCCAACTATTTTAAAGCGCTGATCCCTTGTTATTTTCAAATGCCCGGCTGTGAGCACGGATGAACCCTTTCGCCACAAAAGCACAAACGACCCAAGGTTTTGTACTTTGCAGGGCAACTCGATGGTCTCACCAACGATGACCTTGTATAAGTGACCTCTGGACAAAAATTTTGGCGCCGTAGTGGGAGGGTCATTCTCAGGCAATATAAAAGAGCCGTCTGTAAAAGGGAAGGAATATTTAAGTTAAAATTCTACTATTCGGTTTCACAAAAATTAAAACATATTTTTTTTGTTTAGTTCAAACTAGATTTCTACTGAACCAGAAGGAAGATTTTATTTTATTTCACTGCACTTACCGATAAAAGACACTGAGAATGAGAAAATGCAAAGAACAATCGGCCAATATCTGCTGGTAAAGTTGTTCTGCAATAAAAGTATAAATAACACAGTTAGCCTTTATTCGATTAACACAATAGTTTAATTTGAACTGTTTATCTACAATGTCTCTTAAAAGGCAGAAAACCCGATAAAACTAAAATGGAGAACTATTATGTTAGCATCATTCTCTGCTTTTCTTGCAACGTGTGGGGAAGATATTTTTTTGAAAACTACTGTATAACTAAATTAAGTTTAAAAACACTAGAGGTTAACAAAAAATAATGGGACCTACGGAATATTTATTCTGAAGATGTAAATAATAAAAAAAAAGGTACAGAATACTCCAATGAATACTGATTTACCAATTTAAAAATGTTGAAATATGGTTTTATGTTTATCTTTTACATTTCGGTGTGTTTAAAAGATAAAAGTAAAAAAAAAAAAATCGAAAGCAAATTATAGTGTCGTTGTTTTTTAACAAACATAGCTCCAATGTTGTTAAATATTTATTAGTTTAGCCGGACATTTATCCATGGCGTTCATAAGACTATATTAACCTGATACCTTTATTTGTTTTAGTTTATTCTAAAAAGTTTTATAGAATTGTGAATTTTATACGCCATTAAATATTTATTAATATTTATACATATACGTAAATATACAAAAAACAAGAAAGGAAGCTAGCTTCGGCAAGCCGAAGTTTATATACCCTTGCAGTCATCAAATTGGCGAACAAAAAACATAGAGGCTAAACAACATCGAAACTATGACGATTTTTCTATTAATTTTCAATATTTTTGACTATTATTCATATAATATAATGCTAGCTACATATGTATGTATATTATAACGTTGTCAGATTTAAATGACATTTTTTTCTCGATTCAAGGGTTATTAAAAAACACCATATTAACGATTAAAAACCACGGCTGTTTTATTTTTGTTCCATTATTTATATATATATTTTCCGATCTTTTCTATGGCAGCTAAATGATTTTAATAAAATTAAATCAGAAATTCAATAGTAGTTAGAAAACACCAAATCAAGTTGATCTGATCAAAAACAAAGGTGTGAGAATTTTTTATTGTATTTTCTTGTATGGAAGCTATCCGATATAGTCGGTCGATCCGGCCCATTCCGACTTACATACTGCGTCCAACAACTACACAACTTTTGGGAACGTTTCAGCAAGATATGTAGCTTCAAAACTGAGAGACTAGTTTGCGTAGAAACGAACAGGAGGACTTCGATTCAGATCGTGATGCTGATCCAGAATATATACCTTATGGGGTCTGAGGTGTCTTCTTCACTGCGTTGCAAACTTCTGGCCTAAATTATAATACTCTTTGCTCTGCAAGAGTATAATGAAAATCAGACTGCCCTTTAATTCGCAACCCGGTCTTTGAGTTTGAAAGCAAGCTGGCTTTTCTATTGTCATAGAAGGGATCAAAAAATTGCGTATGTGAAAATCTGAACAAAGTTGTATAATATACATTTATATACATATAAATATAATATATGTATATAGAAAATATCCCATTAAGGGCGTTAGAAACTTTGTACGAAAATAATACATTTTTAAGTATTTTTATCGAAAACGTTTTATGAACAGAAAGGCCCCCTCCCATTTAGTAATATTCTACCCAGCCTAATTTCGACTAAATTTCCTTGAATTATATAAGTAAAATTTAAAAAAAAAAGCGATTGTAAATCTTCATAACTTTTTTAAAGTTTTCGGGACTACAAAGCTTTTTAAGAAAATTAGCCCGCCCCGATTTTTTAACGGATTCGGAAACAATGGCTTAATATTCATCTCTCTGCTTTCTACATTGTGCAACTGTAAAGATATTCACATAAGTATGTTCGTGTGCATGTATATATGTACGCGCTACCCGAGGTAAATCTGTATATTTTAAAGCAAAAAAGAAAATTAAAAATCAATATGCAAAAATTTTTAAAAACAGTAATATGTATCTTTTGGTTCAATAATACTTCTTAACTGAAAAATTTACTGCAACCTTTTCAAATTAATTACGATATATAAATAGTATAGACATATCCTTATATACACCCACATATGTACATAATATATGTATCTGAATTCAAGCATAAAGCTCTCAGATTTCATAAATTACAATCGCTTTAATAGTTAACCAGTGTTTCAATCATTTTATCAAAGCATGACAAACATTTTCACTCTTCATTAACTTTATCACTTTTTATATAGCAGTCACCCATTTTCATCCTTACCATTTTAATGTGTATATATGGTATGTACTTATTTCGGAGTTTTCTCTCTTATTCTATCCAGTTTTTGGTTCTAAGTTGATTTGATAACAAAGCCCGATTCACTTAAACACAACATTTATTTATAAGTCAGATTAATAACATTTTTTCGCGTTTTTTATAAAATAGTCCGGAATTTAAGACTGGCGAGTATAATTGTATTTATCCTTTAAAGTTCCATTAAGTGAGCGCATGCTCTGTTCAACATTATTTTATGTCAAAAGCTTAGTCGAGCTTTTAATGCAAAGTAAAGTAGTATGGCAATAAAAACTGTCGCTTAGCATAAACAATTTATCTAACTCCATAAAAAATTATATATTTTTTCGAACTTATATTTTTGCTGTTTCTTATGGGTTAGGATAATTTTCTGTTTGAAATTCTGGTGTTTCTTAACGTTTAAGACGGTTTTATTGTTTTTTTTTTTTTAATTTTGAAATACAACAATTAAAAAAGTTCTTTTTCAAAGAAAAATAAAAAATTGATTTTGGTTTTTAGTCACCTTGGAGAAAAAGTTACTTTTGTAGAGATAATTTATTTGTAAGTTAAAATAAAAACATTTGACAATTTGTTCTTCTAAACAAGCTATTTTCAAACGAGCTATGCTGTTATAATAAAACCCGTAGTGTTTACCTCATAAAATTTCTTTAATTGTTTTTACAAGTTTATTTTTGTAATTTTTTACAACAAAATACCGACTTAATTTTCTGATGTATTAAAAAAATATCCTAAAACCTTAAAAAGAATAAACATCTTTATTATTGTCTCAACACAGCTGCATGTTCAAAAAACTTGTAAATAAAACAATATTTGTTAAAAGTTTAAATTAAAGGCCCAATCAAACAACAACTCAAATTTGAATGCAGTTATCGATAAGTTTTATTTGAACAATATTCTTCTATCGTCCCAGGTATCGGCTTATTTAAGAAGTTAATATCGCTCATCCCTATTTCCAGATAATGCAATATTTTTTATTTACGTGTAACAAAAATGAATTGTTAAAATAAATTGGCAATGATTGTGTTTCTGTAAGAGTAAAACCATCTTTAAATTATCTGATTTACAAATATGTTTTATTCACAGCCTCTGGGTGTCTTTATTATTAGTATCTGTGGCGGTATTGTCATTTATTTCCTTGAGACAATGGTTGCTAAGTCGGAAAAATAAGTTGCATTCAACGTCTGGAAATGCTATTAACGTGGGCATTTTCCACCCGTACTGCAATGCGGGTGGTGGCGGTGAACGCGTTTTGTGGTGCGCCGTAAAAGCGTTGCAGGTAATATTTTTTAAATTAAAGTGTTTTTAACGATGATCTTATGATCATTTACTTAACATATTTCGAAAGAAATTGTTTTTCAGAAAAGTATTTGACAATTAAAAAAACGGTTCACGTTCCGCCATCTTCATATTAATCTACATATAAGTACATTTTATTATTATCATTTAAAGGAAAAGTATCACAATGCCAAGTTGATTATTTACACGGGCGATATAGACGCCTCTCCCAATTCCATATTGCAAAAGGCCAAAAATGTGTTCAACATTGCCGTTGATAGTGACAATGTAAAGTTTGTCTTTCTGAAGCACCGCCAATGGGTCGAGGCCAAAAACTATCCCCACTTCACATTGCTGGGCCAGAGTATTGGATCGATGGTCATGGGCCTAGAGGCGTTGTGCAAGTTTCCGCCTGATATCTTTATTGACACCATGGGGTATGCGTTCACGTTTCCTCTGTTTCGGTATTTGGCCCAGTGCAAAGTGGGATGCTATGTGCATTATCCGGTCATCAGTACGGATATGTTGAAGAGGGTTCAGCAGCGCCAGATGTCCCACAATAACAAGAAGTACGTGGCGAGAAATCCGTTCCTCACTTGGACTAAATTGACCTACTACCAATTATTCTCAAAGGTAGGTTATATAAAAAGCGTAAAATCGTAATAAAATAATTTTTTTTTAGATGTACAAGTGGGTCGGTTGTTGCGCTGAGACAATTATGGTGAACTCCTCTTGGACGGAGAATCACATTCTGCAGCTTTGGGATGTGCCATTCAAGACCCACAGAGTGTACCCACCGTGTGAGGTCAGCCACCTGAAAAATCTTCAGCACACCGGAAAGGGCGAGGAATTTATCATCCTATCTGTCGGACAATTTCGTCCGGAAAAAGATCACCCCCTTCAACTGCAGGCCATATACGAACTGCGAACTCTTTTGGCCCAGGATGAGGCCCTTTGGAACAGAATAAAGCTTGTTATTGTGGGATCCTGCCGAAATGAAGAGGACTATGACCGTTTGAAGAACATGCAAGACTTGACCAAACATCTGTCCCTCGAAAATAATGTTCAATTTAAAGTAAATGTCCCGTACGATGACCTGCTTAAACTGTATCAAACCGCAAGCATCGGTTTACACACCATGTGGAACGAACACTTTGGAATTGGAATCGTTGAATGTATGGCGGCTGGCCTTATTATGGTGGCGCACAGGTCTGGAGGACCCCTGCTTGACATTGTAGAAACCTCTGAGGGAAGTCAGAACGGGTTCCTAGCTACTGATGCAGTTGAATATGCGGAAAATATATTAAATATTATTGTTAATAACGACGAAATGAACGGAATTCGAAGTGCTGCAAGGTAAATTACCATTAAGTCTTAATTTATTTCGTCCTTATTAATGTCTTTCGTTTTTAGAGCTTCGGTTGAAAGGTTTTCTGAGCAAGAATTTGAGAAAAACTTTCTGAGAGCTGTGTCAACACTGTTCACAAACGTTTAAAACAATAAAAACAATTCTTATCATGAGTATTAGTTCGATTTTATATTTTTTCCGCTTTTATTCCAAAAGAACTAACAACTGAATTCATTTATTGTGTTTTACATAATATTTAGAGCGATGAGTTTCGCACAATATCTATCGCTTTCCTTAGGTTTATTTAATGTTTTTTTAATCAAAGCTTAGGGTGTTTGACTTCACAGGATCCGTGATAATCTCTGAGATTTTGTACCAAATTTTCTGTCTTATTTTAAAAGTATATAAAATGTACCTTAGCTGTTTACAATAATAAGATCTGCTAGTCGAGTAAACGGATTAGTTAATAATAGTCTTACCTCTTCCGTCCCAAGACAAATCATGTAACGAATGCCTTTTATTTAATTGTTTATAGCTTAGCCACTAAATTAGGTTTAAATTATAATCGCATAGAGCAACAGGAATATCTCATGGTTGTCAGCCTTCTGTCATTCGCCAGCCAGGCTGGCTAAAAGCTCCTCATCGATGCCATCCCCCGACTGTGTTCCCGCCGTGCTGCTTAGGTTCAGAAGTCCCTCGTTGCCAGTCGAGGGAGGTGGTGCGGGCGGCTTGGCTTCCGGATCCGCCAATCCAATCGAGGAGGCTGCACTTCCAGAAATCGAGGAAGACGTTCCCGCTGCGGCTATATCTGCACCACCACTTGGCGTACTGCGTCCACTGGTCGTGTTGCCTCCGCTCCCGCGCTGTGACAGCTTGGGAATCTGAAACTTTGTGTGCAGTCCCTTGATGAAGCCCTCCATGTTGGCGGCCATCGTTGGTGAGGCGTACTGCAGGATGGTCATCATGTCGGTGTGGTGATCGAAACGAGGCGGCGGCTGCGACATGGAGCCGCTAAGGGCCGGCGAGACTGAGCCTGAGGATCCGCTGGCTCCAGCCGAAGTGGAGCTAGACTTACGTGGTACACTCCCGCTTCCAGTGCTGCCGCTGGCTAAGGCTCCCATGCTAGGTCGGCGTCTGGGGGCGCTGTGCTCCTGAAAGGAGTTGGTGCTGTTGCTTTTGGTAAGCGAAACTCCTCCGCCGCCTCCCGATCCACTGAGCTTGCTGCTCAGATTGCCCGAGGAGTTGGCCTTCTGGAAAAGGTGCTTGCTAGAGGAAGTCGCAGCGGCTGAGGCTACAGCGGTGACCTTCTTCGATGCGGGTCCGCTGTTAACGCCTGGCTTTAGCCCGGTGTGCTGTTTCTTTGTGGCGCCGGAGGATCCTGCTGTGCTCGTTACGGCAATGCTGCTAGTCTTAGCTTTAACCTGGCCACCGGATGTGGAACTAGAGCCGGAGCCGGAGCTCTTGCTGCTGCCCGTCTTGTTGATGGTCAGCTTGAGGCCCTCCTGGCTGCTGGGCTTCACCATGTACTCCGTAGAGGCTCCTGCCATTGTGCTGCCTCCGGCGGAGTCGCTGCTGCCCCCACTGGTGGCCAAGCAGCTACTAGTTGGCCCCGCTCCCGGCTGCTGCTGTTGCTGCAGCATTGTTGCTGTTGCCAGTGTTGCTGCTGCTGTTACCGCTGCCGCTGTTTCCTGACCCTGACCCACTCCCGCCGAGGCTGGAGGCGCCAATGACGCCGCCGATCCCGCTGTTCCCGCTGACACTGTTGTTGTTGCTACCGGGATTGTTGGAGCTAAAGCTGCCGTCGACGTCATCAAACTAACCTGACAAAGTAAGCATGTGGTTGTGTGTGTGTGTTAGGGACCAAACGAACCAAAAATAAACCAGAATAGAACCAAAATATAACAATCAAAACGGGATCATCACACGGGATAAAAAATGGTTAAGGATTTCACAACCATTTGCAAGTTGCCCACCCAGAAGTGGGAGTGTGTATATGTCAGGTGGAAGAGAAAACAGACAGAGAAAAAGGGGAAAAATAGTGAGGAACCCGTTAGTAATTCGCTTAAAATAAATTATCGTGTATAGTTTGTATAAGGGATTTCTACCGTCAAACTACGGTTAGGCAAACTTTGCAAATGCATACATAAACTTTAGATTCAAAATTCACTATAAATATTACAGGTGCAGAAATTTTAAAGAATACAAAACACTAATAGGACTGGGCATCATATGTTACTAGAATGGATTCCCACAAAAGGCCCAGTTTGGCAGGATTCATGCAGGCCGATAAATTTTACAAGTCAAACTAAATAAATATACACAAACGTGCGCAAGGTAGGAAAAAGATAATACAAGATACTGAGTGTTGAAGAAGCCCCATTACCACAACAAAGATATAGATTTGGTAGAAAATAAAACGGATGCAGCATGACAAATAATAGGATAATATATATTTACAAAAATAAGAAAAGGGAAAACGAGACACAAACAAAAATAATAATAATAGTAATTGTAGTAGTAATAATAATTATTTTCAACTACAGCAGAGGTAGACGAATTACAAATCGTTTTACAGCTAAAGTAAATACAGCATTTGCATTTGTTATAGATAGGCTCGCTCTGAATTGGATTCTGCATTGGTTAAGAGAGGTGGCAGAGAGTCAACTACGTGTTAGGCTTCCAATAGGAGATGCTGGGGGTGGGTTGGTGTGGTGTGGAGCACTTATAATGAAAACGGACTTACCGCACCTCCCGCCATGCCCTTGCGCAGGGCACTCAGCTCCAGTCCGGAGGCCCCCGCGCCAGCTCCTGCTCCTGCTCCCACCACCACTGCTGCTGCAGCCGATCCGCCCGCTCCCGACGACGCCGCATAACTGCCTAATCCTCCGCCCGCCGCCAAATGCGACAGACTGGCCACCGACTTAAGCTGCTGCTGCGAAGACTTTAGGGCAGCAACAGCAGCCGCCACGCTGGCCGGAGAAATCCCTCCGCCAGATGATACAGTTGCAGTTGCAGAGGACCCCGTCGAACTGGAACTGGATCCGGGCATGGATTTGTCCTTCTTTAAGCTCTGGCTGCTGCCGACTGATCCGCTTGCGCTTGCTAACGGAGGAATTGGCGGTGGTGGCGGCGGTGCTCCAACGCTCGCAAAAGACCGCACCAGACCAGGGGCTCCGCCAGATGCTGAGGAGGCGGATGGTCCCGATGATGTTGCCCCTACAGCCGACGAAGACTTATCGCCCTTGGGACTCAGGATAGTAGCGGCTGTAGCTGCGCTCTTCAGGGTGGACATGCTTGGCTTGCCCGAAGAACCGTGCTTGGGAGAGTGCGTGCCAAAAGGCGACTTCGGACTATTGGAGGCGGTGTTATGTTTGGGGCTGCTGTAAACAGGAGAGTGCTTTGGGCTCGGACGCGCTGTCGGCACTCCGGCCATTAATCCCTGCCCAGAACCACCTGCCTTGGGAGACGATGAGGGCGAGGAGAACTTTCTCACCACTCCACCAGGAGCGGAACCGTCTCCACCAGCCGCGGGGGAGTTTTGCCGAGAATAGATCTTTTCCGGCGGTCCCATGGGTGAATCGTCGCGCTTCTTTTTTCGTTTCTTTTCCTTTTGCATGTCAGACGAGCTGCTGCTGGAAGACGACATAGCACTACCAGAACCTCCGCTACCAGACGTCGAAGAGCCACCGGATCCGCTCTCGTGAGGTCGCTTAGTGGCCACACCTACTCCAGTAGAAGTAGCACCACTTTTTTTTGACGAATCCTTGCTGGGATCCTTTCCCGTAATGGGAGTGATAGTAATGGTCGTAGGTGCGGCACCGGAAGGGGCTGCTACTCCTCCTCCAGTAACAGCAGCCTGGGTATTTAGCGGGATAATTTCAATGCCACCCGTGCGCTGAACCTCAACGCCAGGGACCACTCCTGTTGGTCCTGCAGCCTTGCCATCTCCTGGAATGGGTGTGATACTGACACAGTGCTTTAGATTGGGAGTCTTGTCCTTCCAAATATTTTTATACTTGTCAGCAATGTCATGATCGCTCGTTTTGGCGGCGCCGGAAGAACTAGAGCTGCCGCTGGTTGACGCGCCACTGCCCGAACTTCCAGAATGTGGATCCGTTTCGCGCTTGAGATTGATCAATCCAGCGATGGCCGCTGCAGCCGAGGTGGAGGCGGCAAAAGCATCTGCTAATGATCGCGACTTGGCGTCCAGTTTGAGGTTGCTAATGTTGGCGAACCCACCTCCGGGTAGGTTACCATCTGAGGGGGGCGCCGTGTCCATTGCAAATTGGTTAAAGTTGTTGCCGCCTCCTGTTACCGTTCCTCCACCCATGCCTGCGCCTCCTCCAATTGGTCCTGAGCCCGCAGCTCCCGCTCCAGGTCCAATAACACCGTGCAATTTAAACTCATGCTCTTCATCCCAGCACTTCAGCAGCTTATAGATGACCATCGGAATGGACACAACTTTGCGGACAGTGCGAGTCAGCTTCTGGGAAAGCTGCTCATACTCATTGGTCAAGCAGTACACACTACATGTGGGCTGACCATCCTCAAGCAAAAAAATCCACCGTAGCCAGCGATTCCTCGTACGGATGCTGTAGCTCCACGGTAATCTGGTTGAACGACACTGCGGTTACCTCCAGAATCACAGTGCTGTCCATGTCTGCGACGAAAAAAAAGAGGACCATTTTTATTTTTGGGAAGATAGTCGATAAATCGGACTTACCATTATACTGTTTTTGCTGCTCGCGAACACAACTGGCCAGCAATGTATAGAAAAGAGCCTGCTTCTTGAGGAAAGCCATGATTCGCGGCACTTGAGCAGGCTCTGTGAAAGGCAGCGAGGACACCAGCGTGCCCTGCAATTTGCGGTTGTCAGTAAAGAAGTAGCAGTGCGTCTCCTTAGGCAAATTGACGTAAAGCCCGCGCTGCGTATTCCTAATGGCCTGTTTAGAGGCAGTCTGCACAATCAGGTTCAAGACTGTGCTCGGCGGGCTGGGTGGTGTGGCCGTGGCATCCAGACCGGGTAGTCCCAGTGCCTTAAGAGATTCCAGGCAGACTGGCATCGGCTTATTCAACCGCAGGACATAAGTGGCAGGCATCAGCAGCGAGTTATTCTGGTTGAGCTGGGCGTAGGTGGGCACTTCAAGACCCGTTTGAGCATCGCGGACCAGAGTCACAGTAGGCAGGGTCTGCAGCTTGTTGGCCGATGAGCCCTCCAGGTTTACGGTGGCACTTAGCCCGTGGCTGCTGCGCATCACCTGGTCGATAGTAAAGTCTCCGCTGGCTTGTTTTGGGTCGCCTTCGGGCAGATGCAACGGCGGGCAGAAGTAAGTGAGCTTCATGGGGTGGCCACCGCGCCGAGGAAGAACTAGACCTACAGAAGAGTTGTTCATCAGGGAGTAGCTGTCGCCGGAGTGGCCTTGCAGGTGAAGTTGGTAGAGGCTCTGAATGTCCGTCTCCATGGCTTGGAGCGCCACAAACGCCTTCTTCTTTACCTTGGGCTCGGCATTCAACTGGTAGATGGAAGACAAACCTTCCAGCTGGACTGTAAAATCGGCGAAGTCACCGGACTTTAGGCAAGCTACCAACTCACTGGACTGCTGCTCAATCTTGCACTCGTGGTGCACCTTGACGTCCGACAGACTGCCCGCTGCGTCCAGGAGAATCTCCACGTAAAACATGTCCGTCGAGATGAAAAGCAGTTGCTGGTCCTCCATAAACTTAAGACCAAGCTGCCGTGAAAGGCTCTCCAAGCGCTCGACCAGCCCGTGGCGTGAGGTGACCTTGATGTAGTGCTGTAGCTTGTCTAGCGCCGATTGCAACGTTGCCTTGCAAACCGGGTCAAGCGGGTAGTGTTTTTCGATGAAGTACATTCGAACCGACTTCTTAATCTCCTCGTAGCTCTTTGGCTTGCTTCGGTACTTGGCCCGCAGCTTTTCCATCATTGTCTCCTGCTGAATCTGCTTATTTTTCTCCTCAATGCTGGGGATGTGGCTGCCGAACCCTGTACAAACGCGTGTTAGTGGCCGGAGAGTTTTTATAATTGGGTATTAATGGATACTCACCCCCAGTCCCGGAGGACTTCGCGTTGGATCCACTCATATTTTGGACTTTCTGTTTTTTCCTATTCGTGCTCGAGCATTTTCAAAAAGTAATCGAGGTTCTGGTAAACGGATACGAGCTCAAATAATAAACTAACTTAGTTATTTTCTACGTTTCAACCATGCCGAAAAATTTTCAACGCCAAACAACAAAATGGCTGATCTTTTCTTGGCAGTAGCTGTAAAAAAATGCCAGTGCTCTGGCCACACCATTCCCAATTTTATTTTCAACATACCACATTCCCAATTAACTAAAGAGCGCTTACAGTGCAGTCACGGTATGGATGTGGGGATGAATCTTCCAAGAGAAATATATATGAAGGAAGAGATTAAAATGTACAGACATATATTCTTTGAAAAAATATTGTTGCGCCTCATCATTTTTTCCAAATAATATTTCTGTGGCGATCAGTGATTATGCTAATCACGCAAATATTTTGCGAAAATAACAAGTTGTTTGGATTATTAGTTAATATTTCTCAAGCATGCCACTCATAATGTTCAAGTCCGATATACATAGATTTTTTGATTTAACGAGTTTAAAACCACAAAAACAGCTAACACTTAATTGTATTTTGCTTAAACATTTTTATGTCTTAAAATATTTTTTTGTAAGTGATTATTTACTTGTTTCTAAGGTATCCCGAGGGGCCAAAGAACTTAAATATATTCATTTTTAAATGGAAAAAGACGTTCATTAATTTAAAAAAAATAAATAAAAAAGGAAATAACAAAGAACGGTAATTCTTAGCCCGCAATGGTTTTAATTTCTGTAAATTTCAAGCAACGAAACACTCTAAATGTTTAACCCTGGATCATAGAATACAAGTTTTCTCGTTTTTTGTAGATCACTTGCCAGATTTATTATACATACGTATAGTTTCTTAAATATAAATAAATAGAAAAAAAAAAATCTGCATGCGTGTCCAGAAAAATTTATTTGAAATGTAGTGTTGAGTTTAAGTTTTCTCAATTAAACAGAATATCACTCTTAGAGAAAAAAAAGGAATTTTACATTAGTGCACTATAATAAATTTGTGGTTGTTAAAAGTGTTATTTAATCTTCCACTTGCATAAGAGTCCTATTATAGTGTAATTTTTCTGAACATAGAGCACTAAGCACAGATCAGGTTGTGGTGAACGCGCCCAAGTTTCCGCGAGTCAAATGGTATTTTATATTTTTCCTTTAATACTGTTGTGTTTCTACGGTCACACCTAACGTAAATGACTTATTTTCGCTTTTAAACTGTTCCAGAACAAATAGTAAACTAGTTTTTCAAATGACGACCATAGCAGGAGGACATGGAGATGCGAATCCAAACAGCTCCTGGCTGAGTGCCCGGGGATTCTGGCTGGCCTATCTGCTTGGCCTGCTTTCGGTGCACCTGCTCTTCTTATCAGTTCCCTTCGTCAGCATTCCGTGGGCCTGGACGGCTACCAACCTGCTTCATAATGCGGTAAGTTTTTAAGTTTCCCGGTTGCTGTCAACTAGTTAGCCTATATTTACTTTATGTTACCAGGCCCACTTGTACTTCTTACACGTCATTAAGGGCGCTCCGTGGCTAAGTACTGAAAACGATCCTAGCCGGCGATGGACGCACTGGGAGCAGATTGATGACGGTGTGCAGATGACCACAACCCGCAAGTTCCTTACCGCAGTTCCCATCGTGCTGTAAGTGCCATTCCATTTGAGTAAAGAGTTGGTGGAAAGCCTAGTCATGTTAAATTTGTGCAACGTTTAACAGAATTCAAATCAGAGAATATATACCTCAGTATACAACACATAGTGAAAACAGAACGAATTTCTTCCAATACATTTTAACATTTCATTTAAATACAACGAATTTCTTCTTTAGATTTTTACTTACTTGCTTGTACACACGGAACAACACGGAACACTTTATAGCGAACTTCATATCCCTTGTGGTCGTCACGCTTCCCAAGTTGCCCCAATTTCATGGCGTGCGATTGTTTAACATAAACAAGTACTAAGTTTTAACAGATTGGATTTGATTGGCTTAAAGAAAATGTATATAATTGTAAAATTGCTATGGCTGTTGTACTCAATTTGTAAATCATGTAAATATTACCAAATAAATATAACTTATTTTTAATTTTAAAGTGGTATATTTATTACATCTCGATCCTAATTTTAAAATAAGGTTAGAATCAATTTCACACCATCAATAAAAAACAATAAAGACTGCTATTAGTCGATGTCCTCGACTTCGAAAAAAATACATCCCATTACTTCATAAATGGACATTATGTGAAATAAACTTGCACTGCATATGCATTACTAGAATCTTTGTGTCTGTCTTAATAAGTCCAGTTCTTGTAGTTTCCGTGATCTCGAACTTTATACGGGCTGACAGACAGACAGAAATCTTTTCGACGATAGTTAAAAACAAGACGAAGTGTTAAAGTCGACGGCCACGACGAGACAAATTAAAAACCGTTATTAGAAGTAATTACTAGAATCTAAATACATATTAAATCAACCAACATCCAATTTCCAGCATAATGCCTTTCAATGAGACATAAAGGCGGACACATTCACAAAGCTATGTATTTATGTGTACAGACACCAAATCAGACATATGTACATATGTACATATTTTTTAGTTTTTGTATGAAAATTGTTTTATTTTTAAAAGTAGGAGAAAATATTATTAATATTAAAATAATAATAGAGTTTCCTGAACTTTCTGCGTTAAAATTTTTTTGATATCTTTGCTAGTTAAGAAGCGGTATCGATTTAAAACTTTGAAATAAGCTTGAAGCCACTGTATATCTTTTGATCCGCACTAAACCATCGAAATTGTTATGATTCAGTATTAACTGATCCCTCCAAACTTTATTTAGAAACTACTATGTATCTTTAAGCAGAAAACCACTTAAGTCGTGGGATGTATCGATGGTTACCTTTAAAACGATATTATTGACTATGGCTCTAGAATCAAAGCAGTAAACAGGTAAAGCATTTATTAAGTAAGCAGTATGTTTGGAGTACCGTTTCACGTTTTGCTAAAACTCGGCAATCTAATTTATTTTTGTAAATTTCAGTATAATCGTGTTAAAACGCTTCTTGGTCACACTTAGAAAAGGCTCTTATCTTATCTGATATTATTATTTACTCTAAAACCTCTTGAGTTATAAGTTAGTAACATTTTTATAAAATTTATGTTTATTTACCTAATTTTATAACCATTGACTGAAAAATGGAAAACGTTTTCGTTAAATCCGAATTAATAAGACAATTAAGCGAAGCTGTGAAGGGTTTAATTAACAATGAAAGTCTGATTTTTAAAAAGAATGACTCGTACAATGTCAACATTGTATTCAATAAAAATGAAATAAGGATAGAAACATCAGAACATAGATCTGATAACACCCCAGAGATGTTACTTGCCCAAATTGGTCTTCTTAAAGAGGAAATCACTAAGTTGAAGGCTGCTTCTTCTGAAAATGATAAACGACTGAATTACCAACCGATAACTGAAATTCCCGAAATGTCCGGTTGGACCGTCATTCAGTGTCGTAAAAGCGGACGACTTGATTTTATTACGGAGAGCTACTTGTACAATGTCGGATTTGGTGATCCGAATGACGAGTATTGGATCGGTTGCGAAAAATTGCATAATATTACCAAAAACCGAAGACATGAACTCCACATTGCGTTCGAGGATTCTGATGGAAGCAAAACCTATGCCCATTACGATAATTTTTTAGTAGGCAGCTTACAAGAAAGGTACAGTCTGAAGTCTCTGGGAAAATATTCTGGAACTGCCGGAGATGGTCTGCGAGCCCATGAACATCAGAGCTTCGAGTTCTACAACAACTGGAAAGGCGTTTATAAATCATTTTCCTGGTGGACTGCTCCGAGCTATAATTGGTGGGAAAATTTAAATGCGTTATTGCCTTTTTGTTGTAAAATGTTTTTTTTTTCAGTAACTTGAATGGAAATTACAAATTGAAGACTAATTATGACCCGGAAGGTTTTTGGTGGAGTGGGTTGTCTCGTATAAAATATTGTAAAATGAGCATTAGACCAAAAATGTTACAATGTGATTAACAACCAAGCTTGCAACACCGAAAAGGATAAGGAAACTACTGCGTATAGCCGCAGAGCCGATCCGGTCAGAACGATTGATATATTGAACTAAGGAGTATGCATACCAAGACTTGAATTAATTTAATTGGTTCGGGAAATATCGAAAAAAGAATGTATTACGGAAATGTCAAATAATTAAGCTAATATGCTGTAGAAAGTCCTAGTTTGTTAGCATTTTTTTTTTTAAATTCACTGCGCCGTTTAGATGTTATATAATTATTTTTTTTAAATCCATTAGCTTTTCGCTAAAACTTATTAAAAAAATATTTATTTTTACCGGTCTTTATATATCATTTTATATTGTGTTCAGGGTCCAGGTTGTTTAGGGACCTGGATTTTTCTAAATTTAATTGCTTGTTTTACTACTGGGTTTTAAACTTCTAAATTATTAATGTTCAAAAATATAGATATAGATTTTCCTAATTAAAATATACATTCATATATGAAATTATAAAGTAAAGTTTATGTATGTGCACCCATTAAAGAGGTGTTTCAATAATCGACCAAATATATATATTTTTTTGGACTCGTAAGTCAGGGATATTGTGTCTTACGATCGGATAGAGGGTGTCTTGTAGTTGTATACCGTGTTTATTTATTTTGTATTTGTAAGTCGCGCCCCCTTTGGAAGTGCATACGTTCTACCTAAGTGGCGATTACTCGAAGCACTATCTCCCCCTCCGATAATGCGGACTTGGCTGTCGTGGGCGGTGGAATTGCTGGGGTTGGGTGGGCAATCGACTTCTGACAAGCTGATTGCCCGGTTTGACTTTGAGGGAGAAGCTCGCGACCCGAACGACTTTGGCTAGCCCTAATCAGTAGTTGAGTAGTGAGCCAGACGTAAACAGAGGTGTGCCGGACAGGAGAGCACAGACACCCGACAGTTGCTGTCAACCGTTTTGAGGGGAAGGAACGAGACCGAGACGCTCCAAAATGTCGATCGAACTGGAGGAGGAGATCTTCGGCCTGGCCGTGAATCCGTTAACCAAGTCGCCGGAAATGGTGCGCCGGTACACGCTGAAGAACGCCAAGGGCATGTCCGTGTCGGTCATCCAGCTGGGGGCGATCATCCAGAGCGTCTGCTTGCCGGACGCCTACAAGAAGGTTGACGACGTGTGCCTCGGGTTCGACGACATCGCCAGCTACGTGGCCCACAAGGGGGCCTACATTGGGGGAACCCTCGGACGAGTGGCTAACCGGGTGGCTAACGGAGAGTACACGGTGGACGACACTAAAGTGTCGGTGACCAAGAACATAGATGTAAGTATTCTCCACCAGGCATTGATAAAACCGATGTACTCTGTGTTTGACTCTTATTTATGTATTTTCCGATTTTAAATGCACAATTGTGGGTTTTATTACAAGAACTTCCTCAAAAGTGTAAGACTGATCAAATCAATACTTCTCCGCATTTTGACCTTTAAAAACCACTACTCACCAGTAGTTGTGGCATTTTTTACATAAATAAGGGAAAAATATTGATTCTGTTAATTCTGAACAGCTTTCGAAACGTTTAATTATTGTTGAATCCTTAAACTTTTAGGACAAGTTCCAGCTGCACGGCGGCTTCGTGGGATTTGACAGCGTCATCTGGGAGGTGGTGCAGAAGTCGGCTGAGGGAGTGGTCTTCCGGCACGTGTCGCCACACGGCCACGAGGGCTACCCGGGCAGGCTGACCTGCCTGATCACCTACCAGCTGGACAACGAGAACCGGCTGTGGGTCAGGTATGAGGCCACCACCGACCGCTCCACGATGGTCAACCTTTCGAGCCACGCCTACTTCAACCTGGCGGGCCACGGGTCAGGATCCAAGGGGCTGGCGGAGCACACGGTGGAGATCGCCGCCGACCATATCGTGGGCACGGACGAGCTGCAGATTCCCACCGGCGAGCTGGTCAGCGTGGACGACACAGTCTTCGACCTCAGGCTGCCGGTGCTGATGCGGGACCGCCTCATGCAGTTCGAGGACCGCCTGATCAAGGGCTACGACAACTGCTTCGTGGTCAACGGGGGCCAGCTGCAGAAGACGGTGGCCAAGGTGGCCAAGATCGTGCACCCGCCCAGCTGCCGGGTGCTGGAGGTCTGGACCAACCAGCCCGGCATGCAGTTTTACACCGCCAACAACCTGACCTCGATAGTCGGCAAGAACTGCACTAACTACGTGCGGCACGGCTCGTTCTGCGTGGAGACCGAGAAGTTCCCAGACGCCATGAACCACCCTGAGTTCCCCTCGATCCGCCTTGAGGCCGACCAAAAGTACCGGCACGACGTCCTCTACTGGTTCAAGGTGGAGGAGTCCTGGAAGTGCTGCTGCAACAACGACCCGTGAGGGTGATAGGGATCTCTCGCAAATAAAGCTATTCCTCTGGTTTCCAACCCCAATGTTATTGATTTTAGATTATTCAAAATTCCAGTTTGAATAAGATTAAGCCTGACAAGCGTGGCTAAAAAATTTCTGTAATAAAAAAAAAAAGCCAATGTAAATGGATTAGGTAATTTTTGCTTGAGCTTAGGAATTGTGTGCCATCAATTGTATGACAGGTGCCCAATATTTTCTGTGCGCTAAGGTATGAAAGTACAATGTATTTGTAAAACATTAAAAAATATAGTTATCTATTACAATTGTATTTTTTATTTTTTTAGATTTAAAGCCGCAAACTTAAAAGTAAATACACTTTTGTTGGATCGCGATTTCTTAAAAGTAATGTGAAGGCGAGACTTACTTAGTAACAAGTTGAGTTTCTTTAGATGTTTTTTTTTTTTTTATCGATTAAAGAAATTTAATGAAGAGTTTAAGCCTCCACAAAAAAGACGAGCCATCTTAGTCTACTTGGGTCAGTCTGTCAGTAGAGCGTGTCCCACTTGGAATTCTCAAATCCTTTCGCCCAAGCGAGGACGTCTAAATTTCAGTTGTCGCTTCAGGGTATTTGCCAAAATCAAACCCAGTTCCAGAAACTCGATAGGATGGTGCGCGTGATCGAGGACATGTTCGGCATCGCCGTCAACCCGATGACCCAGAAGACGGACCGGGTGCGCCGATTCACCTTGAGCACGGAGCGTGGGATGTCAGTGTCGATCTTGACACTAGGCGCCGTCATCCAGGCGCTGAAGGTGCCCGACTTCAACGGCAAGCTGGAGGACGTGTGCTTGGGCTACGACGACGTGGCCGGGTACTACCGCAACCAGCCGAACTACTTCGGGGCCACCATCGGGCGGGTGGCCAACCGGGTCGCAGGCGGGCGCTTCCAGCTCTGCGGGAAGGAGGTGGCCCTAAGCCGGAACGTGAAGGACAGCTACCACATGCACGGCGGCTTCGTGGGCTTCGATAGCGTCATCTGGGACGTGGTGGGCGTACACAAGGACGGGGTCACCCTGCAGCACGTCTCGCCGGACGGTCACGAGGGCTACCCGGGCGAGCTGACCACCAACATCAACTTCTCACTGAACGAGACGAACTGCTTCGGGATGCGGATCGAGGCGCGCACGAAGGCCACCACGGCGGTGAACATCTCGAACCACAGCTACTTCAACCTGGCCGGCCAGGGGGCGGGCAAGGAGGCGCTCTACCAGCACATGCTGATGATCAAGGCTCAGAAGATCGTGGACGTGGACCAGGAGATGCTGCCCACCGGCAAGCTGATGCGCGTGCGCGCCACCCCGTACGACTTCTCCAGCCTGGTGAGCCTGGGCAAGCGGCTCAACCTGGTGGCGACCTGCCCGCTGGGCGGCTTCGACAACCACTTCTGCGTGGACGTCTCCCCCAACCGCGTGCAGTTGGTCGCCCGCGTGGTGCACCCCTGCAGCGGCCGCTTCATGGAGGTGCACACCAACCAGCCGGGCCTCCAGTTCAGCACGGCCAACGGCCTGCCCGACGAGGACTGCGGCGACATTCCCAACGTGGGCAAGGATGGGGCCCACTACGTTCGCCAGGGCGCCTTCAGCCTGCAGACGCAGAAGTACCCGGACGCCATGAACCACTGCGACTTCCCGACGATTGTGCTCAATCCCGGCCAGCTGTACGACCACCAGGTGGTCTACCGCTTTGGCGCCTGTCCCAAGCGCGTATAGACGCAGAACCTCAGGCTTCGTAGTTCTCCAAAAAATATGGAGGCCCTAACCCTCATCGCAATAAAATGTATATTTCGGACATTAAATTATGTTGCCCTATCTTGTAGCCGATTTTTAAAGGGTGGAAGGGAACGTTGCATTTAATAAATACATATTGAGTATTTGAGTAAATAAATTGAGTAAATACATAGTGAGTTCATCAAAATGTATACTTTTCATTTAAGAATTAAATTTGTTTAAAAATGTATTTATTTTGGGTAAAAGAAGCCCTGGAATCGCAAGCATTAAGCTTTAACGGGAGGACGCTACTAAGTTTAAGGCGGAAATTAAAACTAACTCAGATTTCCGTATATATTATATGTATGTATGTATGTATGGTGCCTGAAATATCTAGGGTTCCTCCATTGACTAAGGTGCGTGCATTGTCTTAGATAGATGAATCACCTTTGGTGTCTGCATTGGGTAAGGATTGGGTACCAGTTATTGAGGCGGACGCGCCTAAGGGTGGCGGGCGAAAAAATGGGAGAACTAATAACATGTATCTATGTACATTTATGTTCACAACATTCTAGCTCTTATACTTCCCGAGATCTGGACGTTCATAAAGACGAACAGACAGACAAACATACATAAATCGAAGGCCCAGATCAAGAATGTATATACATACAGACTTTATGAGGTCTCAACTGTCTCCTTCGATCTGTTAACAAATACCGTATATCCTTTTACTCATTTTACGAGTAAGGGGTATAAGTGTATAAATGCTTTCAGGAGCTAATAAATACAAATATATATACTTACATATATGAATAAATAGTTATAAATACACAGCATTTATTTCCAGACTGAACAAAATTTAAGAAAAGCCAATTCCCTGATCTTTGTTGAAATTCCACCATTTTTCAATCAGCTTCACGGATTGGGAGACCCGAATTCTCGAGGGAAACCATCGGCACAAACTCCCCAGCCCCCAGTTCATTGACCTCAGCTACATGTGGTTGTGACGCTGGGAACAGCGTTGAGTACAAAGTGCTGAGCTTTTCGGAGGCCTGGAAAGTCTTATAAAGCGAATAAATTCCATAGTACAGATACCAGAAGAGTACTGTAAAGAGAAAAATGAAGATCATTTTGCAATTCAGTGTGATTTGAGTAAAACTTACCATTTAACATGCCGACAATAATGGTAAATAAAAGGATGTACAGAGAGCGAGTCGAGTTAGCAATGACACTAATCCATCCTAAAAGGCTAATGATAGAAAGCAAGATCAAAAGCAATCCATTGTCTATCAACCACGGAAGCACTAAATAAGATCGTTTCTGAAATCAAACCAAAATGTTTAAAAAATACATTATTACGTTATAATGCAAGAATTTATCTGGACTTTCGCAGAAAAAAATTTTTTAAGCTGCTTCCGGTCGATTGCAATGGTTAAGTTAATGAATAAATGAATAAACTTTATGGAAAATTGTGTATTATGTTATTTTCGACTGACCTTCAAGATACCCACAAATAGTACAATCGATGTCAGAATGTTGGCAACTAGCAGAAACAGAAAAATACTCACACCAATTGTTAGAACTGAAAGCCACAAAGTATGTATAAGATTAATAGACTTTTGGGACCCATATACGCCTCTTAATTTTCTCTTACTCAAAGTGTCACTGGGTCTGATATCTCCCAAATAGACGGAACAAATTAATGCGCCACATATGGATGTGGCAATGCAAAGCAGACCCAAAACCACACCGAGGATGTCGCGCCGTAAGGGAAAACCTTTACTAGGCATTTTCGCTGTGTTTAGTCATTTCCTTGACTTTAAATAACATAATTGAGCGAAAAGATAGAACCTATCGGCTGGACGACAACGCTGAAACTGTGCCCAAATTTTTCGGTTGCTTCTACCCGAAACGCAAGATTATGTCTTGAGATACCGTGCAAAGTGGTACAATTTCTGTGAGTGTGGCGGGAAAATTTTAATAGTTAGTGTCAAATGGCGGAAAGTGTGGTTAACTATTTATTTGGAAAATTTTGCACTGGATAACTATTTATTTTGATTTTTTTTATTAGGAAATAAGAAAATTTTAAACCTAATAAAATTGTCCTACTATACTCTTAAGAAACCATAGATTTGACTGGTCTAACTCGCATTTTGGTACAAGATCTGTGAGTGGATGCATAAACAATTGATTGCTGGAAGCTGTACGATATATAATCACTGCGTTGCATACTTCTGATTAAAATTATAATACCTTCTGCAAGGGTATAACAAAAATATACTTTGTTTTTATTTTGAAGTTAATTTTTACTTTTAACACATTTGTGTGGCCTAGTCACATTATTAAAAAAAAAAAAAAAAAAATTATATAAATATGGAGAGTTATCCAAAATCATACGTTTTCAAAGTTGCCGCCTTAAGGATGGGACGGACGATAGTTCATCCGATAGATTTTAAGACATTTTATCGAGAAAAATGTATGACTTAAGGTGATTTGCTATTAAACGGGCACACTTGACGGCCATGATTTTCCGCTAAAGACTGAAATATTACTTATTACACTGTGTAAAAATATACTCTACAACACGCTCATTACGGTTTTATTTTTTTTTTGATTCACCTCACCTTGTTATACGTCAACAACGTGGCCAAGAGTAAATATTATGCTTCTGAAATTTATATATAAAAAATATTAATATAAAGCAATAAGTAAAAAGTAACAAAATATATTTTCAAAATAATAGCGATATGCGATATTTTAGCCAAAAAATTGTGGTGTGAATATTTTTTATATTTATTTTCTAATACCATCGATATATATCGATATTTTTATGCATCTGCGACAGCCCTAGTTTTTGCAGCTCTATTAAAAACAATATAAATAAGAAAGTTACGGTGCAAAAAGGAGAGGTGTTTCGAGTGCCACGTTTGGAAGAAATTGATTAAAGCCGCCAAGCTGTTTAACCTACCGCAAGTGTATAAACAGACGACCGATTCCAGCCGTCACAGCAGCAGCAGCAGCAGAATGCCAGTGAGCTTTCTTGAAAAGTCTTAAAATCGATTAGAATATTTGAATTCATTGTTTTTTGCCACCCCTTGCCTTTCGCGTTTTTTACAGGTGCACGAATTCAAGGTAGAAATGACTTGCGGCGGATGTGCCAGCGCCGTGGAACGTGTCTTGGACAAACTGGGCGGTACGTACATATCCAGGGGCGGACGCAGGGGGGTTTCCGGGGGTCCGGACCCCCCCCAAAATCTCAGACTTTTTCAAATTTCCTTACAGCACACGGCTTTTCAACCATAAAAACTAAAAACAAACATACACACTTTAAGTAAATAATGTCTACATACATACAAACATGTCAGAGTACTAAATGATAATATGGTCAATTGAAAGTTTTATTCATTTAATTCATTTTCAAAAAATATTTTTTAAAACCAAATTCACTAAAATAATTAGTTATTTCAAGTAATGGTTAAAAATTAGTAAAATTTGCTGTCTGATTGTTTATATATTTATAAAATTTTTTTTTATTTCGTAATTTTATTTTACAATTAATTGTGAAGAATATCCAAAGATTGGAAAATGAAACGAAGTTTGACCGCAATTTGCATTCCATATAAGCTTATCAGTGGGGGTTTGCCTTCCTTTTCGCGGTTACCAACTTAATTCTGTGTTTTGCCATTCCGCAGATAAGGTCGAGAAAGTGAACATTAACTTGGAGGACCGGACTGTGAGCGTCACATCGAACCTGTCGTCGGACGAACTAATGGAACAGCTCCGCAAGACCGGAAAGAGCACCACGTACTTGGGGGTGAAAAAATGAGATGAGTTTCTCAGCAAGTTTCAGAAGTACGGCAAGCTGAAACTTGAGGTCTAGAGTCTGGACTCTAGAGGATTGAGGGATCTTCCAAGTGCCGCTCCGAAAGCATTCAAGATGGGTCGCAGTTCAGTGATATTCATGAGATACATACAAATTTTACTCTTAACCAAAATCAAATATAGGAACGATCTACAAATTTTACACTAGTATTTGCTCTTGCCCAAATTGTATGTAGCTCGTAGTTAACCAATTAAAGTGTTATTATATTATGCATTACTTATGCCTAGATGAAGAATTTCAAACTCAATTTTAAATAATCAGATCCTATGATAGATGCCAAAGTGTTGCCTAAATACGTGGGTGCCGTATTTAGGGGTACTCAGATCCGCATAACTCCACGTAGTTGCCAATAAATGATATACGCCAATTGCCCTCTTATGACTAATAATAATATTACAAATTTTACCATTTTGCAAATATCAAATATATACAAATATGTTTTAATCTTAAAAATGTATAAGGTGTTTATGTCTTTAATTCTATGTCTTGCATGAAACGAAAAACCTGCTCTCGCTTAAGAACAACGAGCAGTAATCTTTTTCCCGTTAGGTTTAGGCTCTATAATGCCCAAAAATGTTTTACATTTCCAATATGTAGCATGAAATTGTCTCATTGTCGTTCCTAATCTCAGAATCAGATGCGGGCACTTAGTCTCGGCACATTGTGTTCGGTGTCCCAGCGAATCGGCGACAAGCAGCCGGTTTATGCCCTATAACGATCGAGGAGGCAACATGGACACGTCATAAATCTCGGCGTTCGGGAACCCACACTTATCAAATCGAATATTTTTCGTTTTCGTTTCCCCATACTCCGTTTTTGTCTCTCTTATGGGGCATGTTAGAGGCGTAACGAAATTATCAATCAAATGCCACCTTGGCATGCAAAGAATGCAGTGCGCACACAAAGCCAGAAGGCGACTGCACTAATTGAGCTCGGTGACGGACGTTTGGAACTCTCTGTCGACCTCGGCCAGGTAGCCGAATGCGGCTCTGCTGCGTCTCGAGTTGCGGAACTCCGTCTCCTGTTGATTTATGCCCTAACAACAAAGAGCCCAGCGAGGGCCGATTCGGCCTGTCACAACACCAGTCGCATCCCATCCAGCGACACGTCCTTGCCTCTGACCGCCGATAATCCCTCAAGTGTGGCCCGCTGATCAGTTGCTGATAGCATCTGGGAGGGCTCTTACGCACTTTCTACCCGAATACCTTCCAAATGGGTCGGGCAAAGCAAACAGTTGAACGCGCTTGTGTGTGTTCGATGGGAATCTGTGTGCAATTAAGATAATATTTGGAATTTGTTAGCTGCGGAAGTTTAAAGACAATATTTAATTTGAAGAGGGTAGCATCTGTGATAAAGCTGCGATATTGCATTCTCATCTGTGCACAGAGGGTTTAGGTCCTTGTTCCGCTCAATAAGATTCTTTTATTATGAAAAGAGTGTTAGCTCTACATTATATCGTTCAGCAGCCCGTTTACGTACCTTTGCTCTTGGGTTTTTTGGGTTTTTTGCCATTTCCCCCAAACTTAGATCTTGGATATAAATAATGCACAGCCTGTTGGAGCGGCCATTCAAGTGGATGTCAGAATTTGGCCACGCCCCACTCATCGCGCCTTTCGGCGGACCAGTCTTTCCGTGTTTTTGTTTTCATTCTTTGGCAGTTTTTTGTTGATGTTTTTCCTTGCACACTCTGGGCATTGTAGACATTCCGAAAATCGCTGGCGAAATTCTTTGGCGCATGCTTGGCAGCAAAGTTGCCAGTTGCAACCAGTTGGCCGCTCGTTTTTCGCCTGGTCAAGTGGCTGGGAGCCGGGCTGGCGGTGCGTTGCGTTGGGGCACTTGGCAGGACAGCCCGCATCCGACGGCCGACTGGTTTGCCAATTGGCGGCGTTCTTGTTCTGCCGACTGGCTTGGGAGATGTGAGGCGGACCGACCAGAACAATGGCACACTAAACCGAACTTAGGGCCCAGTTTGGGCCATAAATTCCGACATAAACTGTGACGTTTGTGCGGCGCGGAGTCCTCAAAGGTGCCCTCACACAAGGTCGTTTCCCTGGCAGTTCCAGTGATTAGTGATTAGTGGTTGGTGCCTGGTGGCTGGTGGTTGGTGGTTAGTGCGGAGGGGCTCCTTGCTCTGGCTGGTCATTGAACCATTAGCGACTCCTACGCTCCTTGGCCGTTTGGGGAGCACAGTAGCCCACCTCGAGCAGTGAAAATTGCTGATCGGAGCGGAGCGGAGTGGGCGGAGAGGACCAAACCTGTCGACGCCGAGGAAATTCCTGCGCCCGAGCTCCCCAGTTGCGATTCGGGGCCAGCGTGTGCCGAGCCCACGAATGTCGCTTCGGCCATAACGAGAGTAGGGCCCACAAGAAGTACAACATCGCCGAGCGTAAATAACTCATAGATAATAATGGCCGGGCTTTGCAGTGCATGCGCGCAAAACAAAAGACTTAGGACACGAACTGGCCGAAGGAGTCGGCAGTCGTCATGTAACCAGGGCCAAAAAACCAAAACAAGATCAACTGGTTTGGGATACTCACTCGAGGCGGAGAGCCCAGTCAGAGCCACAGCCACAGCCACAGACACCGAGAGATATACTGAGAGAGATATAGAGAGAGAGCCGATCTTGCAGACCTGTTGAGTCCAAGACCTCGTCTATTGCGCGTGCCTTCGGTAGATCGCTGGCTCGCTGGAACGCTCGGCCGCAGCTCTGTAAAATACTTTTCCCCAAAGAAGGTTCAGTTGGGTTTTTGACTTTTCGCCGTGCAGAACGGTTCTCCTGCGCTCGGTTCGTTTCTGTTTTTTGTCTCGGAATGGCACTTCGCCGCCCCCTCGCTCGCCCACTCTAAGATTCTCCGATTCCCCGATTCTCCGATTGAGCGTGGCCGTGTAATATGCGCGAAAAGTTGTTTTCGGTATATAGGCAGCATTCGCATACATCCGCAGAGTCAATTTTCCTGTTAGCCGAAAACCTGCCAAAATAAAAAAGAAAAGAATTCGAGGAAAATATAAATAACTGTGTGTGTGTGTGTGTCGGTGTCGGTGGTGTTGTTGTTGTTGTGCCAGTGCTGTGCGAGTGTGCAAAAGTGCCATGCAAATGCGGATTCTGTTGCCATTGCTGCTCGCCACTCAGCAGTAGGTGAAAGTAAAGCAATTTGTTTAATTAATTGCACGCAAGCAATTTCCCAAAGTGAGCCGAGATAGCCGGAGTCGAGCGATCACTGTGCCAAGTTCGAGTTAGCAGCCAAATTAACTGAATAATCGCTGGCGATGGCCTGCCAGTTAAGTCGAGCTTAACCCCGCTGAACCATCATAACCCGTGTGCTTGTGTAAAAACATTTTGGATTTGGATTAACCACTGAACTCGTTGCGAAAGCTAAGTCAGTTTGGAATATTGGAAAGGTGAGCATTACGTCTTCAGAAAATTATAAATTTCAGCCTCTTAATTTTAAGCAGAATTCATTCTGTGAATAGTAAGCACAATGGTAGACAATCCACACAAGGTTAATAGATTCGCTTTTAGTTGCTTGATTGACTTCTGCATGAATGAAATCAAGTAGCTTACCACTCCCGAAAACGGAACCTAATGAGTTCATTCTTGCGCTAAACGCTTCATAAAAAGATGGAATAAATTCGCTAATAACGAGCTTCTTATACATATAAATCGGCGCAGATACAATCTATGCAAATGCGTCCGTGTTATAGTGGGTCGGGTGAAAATTATGCTAAAGACCCGCATAGGAATATCAGTTTTGGCTGGTATTTCTATGCCGCAACCCAATTTCCATTCGGATTGGGGTTTCCGAATTGTGTTTTTGTTTTGAGAGCTCTGACAAATCATTGGCAATAAGCTGAACTTATGTGTATCTTACAGATACATTTTGCTAGTTTTTCCTTGTTCTGGTTTAAAGTGGACAACAAACAAGCTCGTAAATAGTGAAGCACACAAACACAAGCGGCACACAGATACGTATTCATGGGTTTGTACAAGTTCGAATGGGCTTGTGTATATTCACCCATGGGTAAACTATTTTTATTGACTTCAGCTTTGGCGTTTGACACCTTTGCGGCTTTGTTTACGATCTGAATGGGACACAAAAACAAACTAAAGAGAAAGAGGGGAAGGCAAAATTAACTCTATGCTAAGCGGTATAAAATATGTTTAAATATCTTTGATTAGCAAGACAATATGCATTTGATGAAAGCATGTTACATGTAAAGGTGCTGGAGTAAAATTAAATAGAAATTAATAGAAATTATTAAACATAATAATACCTACTCAATACCCGAGGCTCCTCTTTAAAGAAACTAAAGAACTAAAGAACAAAGTTGATTCTATTATTTAATTATTTATATTTTTAAAAAAGCTTTAAACTAACTGGTAAAGATGCTATGTAAAATAATAAAGAAATAAAGTACTTAATTTGGTTAAAGCATCTTTGTTAATCCTTAAAAATATATATATATATATATTATATATATATTATGTTATTGTGCGTCCATTTGAATGTTTTTAGCGCTGATCAAATTAAAAACGTCTATAATGTAGTGTGTAATATAGCAGATACGAATGTTTTCGTTTTCCACTTGAGGTTCATTAATACTAAATTTAAATACATAAACTTTTAGTTAAGCTTGTCTTAAGGCGACATTTACTGCTTATTCGAGTATCATTCGAGAATACCCAACTCCGCGCAGGGTAATCATTGTTTATGGCTTAAATCAGCGAATCAAGTCGAAAAATAGGCTTAGAGGCCTACGACCAGGCCCAGCTGCCTCCGAGAACTGTGGAAGAGCTGAGGAGGTGGACGGGTGGTGCGGAGGTTGAGAAGGCCCACAAAAGCCGCTCGTGCCGACACACCTGACAAGCGAGTCGAAAGCAATCGACAGACCGCATTCTGCGGCCCGACACTATTGATACATTATGGGGCCGTTTTATAGGGCCGCCATCAAAGAAAGGGTTTCGCAGAGTGGATGGGAAGTGGAGGAAAATGACAGACAGTTCGTATTTGTGAGGCAGTGAGACTGAGAGAACGACCTCTGGTCGAAGAATGGGCCACGTTTTAATTACCAGTGTGTGCCTTTTGGCCCACTTGGGGCTGTCACTGTCACCTGGTCGCCTGGTCACCTGGCCACTTGGTGAAGGGAAAGGGCGGGGAGCTGGATGGGGTCAGGGCGTGGCCTTTTGTCTCCCTTCGGGCCGACTGTCCATTAAGCCCCAGAGCTCTCGGCTCTCTG